CTCTAGGGCCAGGCGGGGCGCGGAAGGGACCAGCGGGGCGCGAGGGCCGGTCAAGGCGCGAGGGGCCGGCGGGACGCATAAGGGACCAGCAGGGCTCTAGGGGCCGGTGAGGTGCTAAGGGACTTGCGAGGTCGACGGGGCGCTAAGGGCCGACGGGATGCTAAGGGCCGGTGGGGTGCAGGAGGGATCAGCCGGGCGTGAGGGCCGGGCAGGGGCTCGAGGGGCCGGCGGGGCACGTAAGGGAACAGCGGGGCGCACGAGGGGTCGGCGGGGCGCTAAGGGCCGGTGGGGCGCGTAAGGGACCAGCGGGGCGCTAAGGGTCGGTGGGGTGCATAAGGGACCAGCAGGGCGTTAAGGGCCGGCGGGGCGCGTAGGGCCTGTCTGAGCGTCCCCGCTTTACCATTGTAGCGAACGCCAAGGAATTCTTACAGTAGATGCAGTTGTTGCTCGCCATTCCATGCCCGCCTCAGCCTTTGCTAGCCGCCTGATCCTTCCCGTGCTGTTCCCTAATCTTGCCTCCTTCCCCACTGTCGCCGATCTTGCCACTCACCTCCAAGCACTTGAGGCTAGCTACCGCGCTGCAAGCACTGAGGCTCAGCTCACTACCATTCCGCCACCACTTTGCGCTACCCTCTACCTCATTGCCACGTGCCTTCCGGACCGCCTAGCCACTGCCCACGACCACTTCCTTAGTCAGCACCCTGGTGACCTCACCCTTACCGCCTTTGTCACCGCCCTGTCCGTGATAGAGACCCGCCAGCACACTATCGCTCTGTCTAGCGGTACTGCGGCGGTCCCTATCTTTCAATGCTGTGCTCCCTCCCAGTGCCCTTACTTTGACATTTCTTCCGCTGTCGCTGAGACAGCCCCTGCTGCTGAGACCGCCGATGTGGCCTCAGCGCAGCCGCGTCAAGGTAGAGGCCGCCGCCTCAAGAGGGGGCATGGCGGATGGAAGGGTGGTGGGGGTGGTGGAGGTTGGGGGCGGGGATGGTGGTTCAGACGAGGGGACTGGGGCTGGTGACCCGGAGCAGCAGCAATAGCAGCAGCAATAGACTCAGCAGCAGCAGCCGCCGCAGCAGCAGCAGCAGTCGCCTTTGGGACCCCCACCGCCGTGGTGGACTAGTGGCACTGGTGGTGGTGGGCGTGGTGGTAGGGGGCACAGCTCAGTGTTGGGTGCTGGCTCCAGTGTAGTCACCTTCCAGTACCAGCTTCAGTCCGGCCCCCGCTGCGGCACCGTCTGCAGCCGCCCTGGTCACACCGCCGCCCGATGCTACCACCGCCTCGACGACCTCTTCCGTCTCCATCCTGACTGGTACGCCTTGGTGCGCCAACCGTGTGCCTGTCTTTGAGCTAGACATGGATCAGATTATGATTGCTATGTCTGTCATGTGTTTTGATGACTCTAGTGTGACTGGACCCTATTACCTGGTGTTGCCTAGCGTAGGTGTGTCCCCTGTGTGTAGTTTAGGCTCCCCTGCTACGTTACGCGTAGGACCCCCTGCCTTGTTTAGCCTATGCTCTACACTGGCCCCTCCGTTGGCTGACGCTACACTTCGCTCTCTTTCACACTCGACTCTGGAGAATCTGCCTGCTTCTTCCGCGACCACGCTGTCTTCCTTGGTTTCCGCCTCGACGCGTCTGACTTGCACTTATACCACCCACCGTCTCACCGCTTCTTTCACTCGTGTGATGTCAGTTTTGACGCGTCTGTCTCCTTCTACCATCGCTTTCCCCACCGAGGTCTCCGATTGTCCCCGCCCCTGTTTCTGGTTCCCACTCCCCCAGGAGCCCCTGCTCCCCTAAAGGCGCTTGCGCCTAAAGATCATCAGCGGCACTGTGTACAGCTTGGTCTAGTTCCTGTAGCTTCTCACTTGCTAGGACCTTCATGTATACTTCCTTTTATATGATCTTGACTGGCCTTGTGGCTTTTGTTCCAGTGGTTGGACTAGTAGTGCCACCCTGGGTTACTCTTGTTTAGTTTGTACTCTTGCTGATTGGTCTTCGGACCCTTGCCTCAGAGGTTGGACTAATAGTGCCACCCTGAGCTGTGTGTCTCCTGCCAGGCACTGCCCCTCATCTAGCCTAGGGGGTGTGTCAAAAATATTTGTATATGTCTTATAGGCTAGATAGGCGCGTACTCTTAGTGGGTACAACCCCTTAGACAAAACCACCATGTTTCCCTCATTCTTGTTAATCTTTGTACGCTAACACGGACGGTTTCGAATTGAAGTGTGAAGTTCGCGAAAATCTGACGGTCCAAATTGCAAGCTTGTTCAACCTAATTGTTCTCGCCACGGTTACGTGACTGTTTCTGATTGGTTGCTTACCCACCCCTACTGTTGTGTTTTGCGACAAACATTTGCTCTGACGAATTTTGTAAAAGCTTCGCAGGGCCCAAACACAAGTTCATACGCTGTGCGTATGAAGTATTTGGGCTACGGGCTTCAACCACCCATGGAGTGACTATTCCGGCAGGTGTTATACCGTATTCCCCCGTCTATAACACCTGCCGGAATAGTCACTCCATGGGTGGTTTATGCGGGGTAGAGCTTATGATAGGGTGCATTTAGGAGAGCACCCGCTTTTTGTACCTTGAATTTTACATAACACCCCCCACATTTTTGCTACTATGTAATCGATACAATATTAAGAATTCAAGTACATCATGGAAGATTCTAGCACGGCTGCATTTGCAGGCCTCAAATTCTAGTCAAGTGTTAGCTACTGAAGCTACATCTAAAGACTACTGCAAGGTCTAGAAGGGCTCGAGCCTAGTCAGAAATCAGTCTAATAATCCTCATCCTCTTCGTCGTCCTCGTCGCCAGCGTGCCACGCCTCCATGTTGTCATCGTCGGACGCTATGTCGTCCCAGTCATAGTCGTCTGTCCAGTTGGAGGCCGCCAGCCCAGCAAGCACCTTTGCCGCTGGCGCCATCTCAATGGAGTCGTCATCAGTGGTCGCAGATGCTTCTGCTGCCGACGTTGCTGCTGTTGCTGCTGCTGTCGCGGCCGTCGCTGTTGCTGCAGTAGCTGCTACTGCTACTGCCAGACGTGCCTCCGCCTTAGTGGAGGACTCTACTACCTCGGCCGAGACGGATGCCGTCAATGCAGATTGCGGCACGTCGTTCTCGTCGTCGTTGTCATCCTCGGACAGCTCGTCTGCAGCGGGCTCGACTAAGTCAGCTTCGTAGAGCGGGTTCTTCTCGCCGCTCTCCTCCATTTCCGCGTGCACGTCATCCATCACTTCCACATCTGCCTTGTCCTTCATATGGGCGAGGATGAGTTCATCCTTCGTCCCATTAATGTCGGTGGAGATGCCGCATGTTTTGAAGGCGTTTCGGATGAGCTTAGCAGGGACGGCCTCCCACGCGGCTGCGATCCACTGTAGCACCACCTCCACGGGGGGCTTCTTGAGGTTTCCTGGCGGGGGCGCAGAGAGATAAGGCGGTAGAAAAGGCAGTCTTTAGGAGTCGAAAAAGCTTATCGATTAAAAGAGCAAGCGTCCGAATAGACAGGAAGTGTACGACGGAGCACACGTAAGGAAAACAGCGCGAAACGCAGGCATAGAGCGGCAAAGACCTCACCTGCGGGTGTTGTCGAATCGTAGTCACACTCTTCAAACCAACCTGTGTAGGACCACCTGACATGCGCCTTCACACAGCGGTTGATAGCCACGTCGAGTGGTTTGACGATCGGCGTGCAGCCGCCAGGAATCACGGCCCTGGAGAGCTTGAAGAGGCGCATCGCCGCTGACACGCCCTTGGTGAGGTGCCCTTTGTAGCTGTCGAGGACGACGAGGGCTTTCGCCCGACCGCCACGCCTCGCAGGGATTCGCTTAAGGAACAGGACGAGCACTGCTGTGATCCAGTCCTTCACGTGCTCCTTGTCCATCCATTTTTTCAGCTGTGCACGGATGATGATGCATGGACACAAGCCAAGACAAAGGAAAACCGGCGGGGTCTATAAGAGGAGAAAAACAACAGGGCATGGGACGGGGATTAAGATAAACATAATTAATCAAACAACAACGCATGTTGGGACGACGCCTAGGCTGAGGGAAAGACGGAATAGCAACTCGATGAAGTGTCGGCGGAGGCTCAGGCTCTCCGTCGGCAGCCTCCTCCCAGTACAACTCGTCCTCATCGTCCTGCCATGAATTATCCCATTGAAGCGGACGACTGGGAATCGGCAACGAGGGAGCGGGAGGCGCAGGAGGCGCCGGAGGTGCAGGAGGTGCAGGTGGCGCAGGTGGAGGGGGAGGAGCAGGTGGTGCAGGTGGTGTCGGGGGAATCGACGGGAACGGACGGAGTAGGAACTGATTGCCGGAGGGAGGACGATGGGTGCGCAATACAGAGAGGCCGCTAAACGTACGCATTGCCATGGCAGCACCTGAAAGGGAGATTGCTAGTCGAGGGACTAGTGCCCGAGGGTCTGTTAGAGAGCCCGGGCATCGTGAGGGGTTTTGTGTCGAGAAACAAAAGCAGAAGTGAAAATTAACGCTGCGGCAAGATAGGGATGAACAAGAAATGTGGTTGGAACCCCTTCCCGGAGCGCGCACGGGTCTTTGGCAAACCGGAAGCGATGGTGCGGTCAGGAGGTTCGATATGCCAAGTTGGAAGGGCATATTCCCTCACGTCTGCTGCGTTGGCAGCATCCACCGCACCTAGCCGTTCTTACCCTGCGCTGGCAGCCTGTGGCTGCATTTTTACCGCTGTTGGCAGGCACGGCTACCAGGGATTGGCCACAAGTGGTCGTGCTGATGTCGAATTCGACACGTATGCAACTGCATTCATATCCCCAACATCGTCTGAACAAGAACCGGTAGCTGTGTAAGCCTTAAAACAGTCGATTTCATATTGCATTTTACATAACACATGGGCTCTATATTTTTCCGGGCCACTGTTAACACCCACTCATTTTTTTAGTGAATTGTTATATCCACCGTAGGGTATTATCTGCAGGGGATTACGGTATAAGGGAGATTATGGTAAGCCAGCACAGCTTGTTAAATCCCGCAGGTGTATATCATAACAATTACAAACCAGGAAAGTGTTCACACTCACATCCCACTCCACACTACCCGGAATTAGGTAAGCAAGCACATGTCATGTTGAAACACTCGCTAACCAGGACAGACCATGTGTCACACGTCGCACTTCCTGGAATTAGCAAGCACATCTTATGTCAAAGCATTCCCACAGCAACCACACTCAACTCAAGACAAGCAGCAAGCACACTCAAGTCGAAGTTAGCATTATCCCCCTATAAGGCTCATCAACTTACTCACCCGCATCCCAAATTAGTCAGCCTGCTAGCAAGGCATCAGCTAGACACTGACGCTCCCACTGCTGCCTGCCCTGCCATTCCCAGAACAGGTGCCACCACCAACCCCACCCCCACAACCCAGCAGCCCCCATCTCCCTCTAAAGTAACCCTCCATGACCATGCCTTCTCAAGGCACCTTGTACCTCCCAACATTCACTGCAGTGCTTGATGGTTTGCCAGGAGCACCAGCAGCCGCAGCAGCAGCCGCAGCAGCAGCGGCGGCGGCAGCGGCGGCGTCACCCTCGCTGCTGGCAGCAGCAACACCAGCAGAATAGGGGCCTGGAGCAGATTTGAACGAGCGGGAGGAAGCACCCGAATGGCGAGCAGAATCAACGGCAGCAGCAGCAGCAGCAGCAGCAGGAGAAGAGGGGGAGTGGCGGCAGCGGTGTGCGGGGGAGAGGGCACGGATACTAGACCGGATGGCCGAGCCCATGGCTCGAAGCGCACGGGAGGGGCTGCTAGGCCGGATGGGCAGCGTACTGGCAGGGGTGTGCAAGTTACTGTTGCCGTTACAGTTACTGTTGTGGTTACTGTTAGTGGGGTGGTTACCGTTGTAAGAGGGTGAAGTCAAGGATCCGGTGGGGGATGGGGAGAGTGCTTGCAGAGGGGACGAGGAGGATGAGGCCGCGTTTTGGTCTGTTGGAATAAGCGTGGTGACGACAGGAACGGACGGGGGGGAGTAGTGCGCGGAGTGTGAGGCAGTGTGGCCACTGGTATGGCCACCACTGGTTGCCGTGAGAACATGGGCGGCTCCACTAGCAGCAGAGGCTGCTGCAGCAGCTGCAGCAAACCTCTCTCGTGCCCTCTCCTTCTCCCTCTCCCTCTCCCTCTCCTTCTCCCTCTCCCTCTCCTTCTCCTTCTCATTCTCTAAGCCCCTCTCCCTCTCCTTCCCACACCTCCTGCTGCTCCTACCCCCACTGCTACCACCACCAGCACCAGCATCACCACCACCACCACCACCACCACCACCACCACCACCACCACCACCACCACCACCACCACCCACAGCAGCAGCACTCGCAGTAACAGCGCCCTTTCTTATCAACCCAGAGCCTTCACTGGCGCTTCTCTCTATGGGATCCAGTCGGCAAGGCGAGGGGGAGGAGGCATCAGCACCAGCATCACCACCAGCCACAGCAGCACCCGAAGCAGACGCAGGCAAGGAAGAAGAACCGGGGGGCAGTCTGGAACCCAAGGGGGCAGACGATGCTGCTGATGCGAATCGACGAGAGGAAGACGTGGAGTGGAGAGGGAGCAAGGGGGAGGGGGAGGAGGACGAGGACGGGGAGGGGCGGGGGTTGCTGGTGGTGGTGTAGGAGATGTGAACAGCGGGCAGGGAGGGGTCCGAGGATGCGGAGAGTCGGAGAATTTGGCGGCGCGTGGTGGAGGATGAAGCACCGCTGCTGCTGCTGCTGTTGATGCTGCTGATGGTGGTCGTGGTGGTGGTGGTGACAGTAAGAGTGCTCGTGCTGCTCGTGTTGCCTGCACTCCTTGCACTGCCGGCGCTACCAGCACTGCCAGGACTGCTGCTGTTGCCCGTCCCGTTCACCTCTCCGCCACTGCCGCTGCTACCCCTGCTCATGCTGCTGCCCACTGCAGATGCTGATGCTGAGGCCGCACCTCCAGCAGCACTAACACGGGGAGGAGCCCTTCCACTTCCCTCCATGCTGCCACCCTCACCAAGCCCTCCGATACCACCACCAGATGAAGAAAGGGCAGAAGCATGGGTATGCGTGAAGAAGTAGACGACGGCGCTGATATCGTCGGTGCTGAGGGGCGGCGGGCGCATGTGCCACTGCAGTTCTGCTGCGCGCACCACGGCTGCTGCTGCTTCTTGGGGAGAGGGTGACTGCGCGACTATGGCGACCACAGCCTCGTTGGAAAGCACATCCCACACCTGGAAGAGGGACGGTGGGGGGGGGGGAGGGGAAATGGGGAGGGAGGGGGAATGAGGAGGGAGGGGGAGCTGATGGGGGAGTTGCTACAAGGTTCCTCTCAAGTCAAGTCACCACGGCTTCATTGGATGAACACATCCCACACCTGGGAGAGGGAAGGTGGGGGAGAGGGGAGAAAGAAGCCAAAGGGTATTCATTACAACCAACAACCAGAAGGCCCAGGAGCACCTAAACTGCTAAGGAACGCAACAGCCACTATCACCCCATCTACGAAGCAGTGCTGCCGCCCCACCCTAAAAGACCGCACATCACCGCAGAGACCCCCCCCGTAGCCTCAACCATCAGTCGCTCGCTCCACTCACCCCGTCAGTGGCCAGCACAATGAAGCGGTGCTGCCGCCCCAGCCTCAAAAACCACACGCTCGGGTAAACCGAGACCCCATACGCGCGCATGGGCGCAGAGCCCAGGCAGTGCAACATGGCGATGGGGGGACGAACCCACCACTTACCCCATCGGTGGCCAGCACCATGAAGCGGTGCTGCTGCCCCAGCCTCAGAAACCGCACGTCCGGGTCGGCAGTGACCCCGTACGTGCGCATGAGCGCGGAGCCCAGGCAGCGCGACATGGCGATGCCGGGCGCCTCCTCATGCGGCAGCCATGCGCGCTCCACGCCTTCGGGGTCTGCTGGGATCGGGTGCACCCGGCCTCCTGACACCACGATGCGAAACCGCTCCTCTGGAGGTTTGGTCGGGGGAAGAGAGGGGAGAAGGGGGAGGGGAGAAGGGGAGGGGGGAAGGGGATGGGGGAAGGGGAGGGGGGAAGGGGAGGGGGGAAGGGGAGGGGGGAAAGGAAGGCAGGTTGTGAGCAACAGGAGTGGTCAATCAATCGGAGTCTCAATCCCTCCGTGTGTCGAGCCGCCCCGTCCCCCCCACTCCAATGCCAAGGCAGCGCGACATGGTGATGCCGGGCGCCACCTCGTGCGGCTGTCCGGCCTCCGGGTCCGCTGGGGCTCAGAGGAACTCATAGATGGACTCAGCCTCCTGATGCCACGATGCGGAAGCGCAACGCTCCTCTGGATTGTGGTCCGGGAGTTGGTAGGGGAAGGGGGTCGGGGGAGGAGGGACATAGGATGGGGGAGAGGGAACGAGGGATGGTTGAAGGGGGGAACGAAAGGGAGAGGGAGGGAGGGAGGGAGGGAGGGAGGGAGGGAGGGAGGGAGGGAGGGAGGGAGGGAGGGAGGGAGGGAGGGAGGGAGGGGCTGGGGTGCATGTGGTTGGTGGTGACATGGATGCATGTGAACGTGCATGTGTATGTGAACGTGCGTGCGCCATGGCTTCCAACGCGCTGACCTGGATGGGCGGGCTTGTGATCCGTGGTGAGCTGCAGCGCCGACACCTCCACATCGCCATCCGCCGCACCTCCATTGTCCCCGGCACCCCCGCTGTCACGGGCGCAGGGATTCACAATCCCCACCACACACCGGCTGTCGCCCACCCACGCTACCACCAGGTCACAGCCCTGGTCAGGGGGGAAGAGCGAGGGGGCGTGGGGAGGGAGGCAAAGAGCAAGAGAGCAAACGAACGATGGAAAGTGAGGGAGAAGGAGTGGAGTGAGAGGAGTGGAGTGGGAGGAGGGGTGGGAAGAGGGGTGGGAAGAGGGGTGGGAAGAGGGGTGGGAAGAGGGGTGGGAAGAGGGGTGGGAGGAGTGGGAGGAGTGAGAGAGAGGAGAGAGTTTCGCAGAAAGTGAAGGGGATTAACCTAGGGTCAGGCCCCTGGGGAGGGGAGGAGGAAGTGTGGAGAGAGTGAGAGACATGCGGGTTAGCAGGGGGAATACCCTACAAGGGGAATGCGGGGGGAGGATGAGAGAGAGAGAGAGAGAGAGAGAGAGAGAGAGAGAGAGAGAGAGAGAGAGAGAGAGAGAGAGAGAGAGAGAGGAGGAGGACGAGGTAAGGTGTGGTATTTGGGGTTTCAACCTACACACTATCCAAGGCTCATGGCTGTGCTTCACCTCTCTTGCACCTCTTTCGAGCATGTTGCCCGAGCCATCGAAACAATCAGGAATCACCACCCAACACACACTCACGCAACTCAGATATCTCAAACGTCTCGAGCATGTTGCATGTTGCACCCTCAAACTCAATTCTTGAGGACATCTTTAGGTGATTTTTGAGTCGACTCAAGAATCATCAGATGGTGTCTAAACTCGCCCTAAAAGGACTCACAAAATCCAACTCTCCCCCCACACACTTCCCATCCCCTTCCCCCTACCCGCCGTTCCCCCTCCCCCTTCCCCGCCTCCTTTCCTTCCCCCCGTTCCCCCACTTCCTTCCCTCTCCCCTCACCTGCACCACGGCTACCACGGCAGTGCACCCGCTATTAAGCGGGTTGATATGCGGGTGCACCCTCACGTCCCGCTCCACACTCGCGAACACCTCGTGCATCTTAGCCCGCCATGCCGCCCGGTCCCCCGCCCCTGGCACCGCTTCCCCCGCTCCTCCCCCCGCGCCTCCCCCTGCCCCGCCTTCCCCTCCACTCGCGCCATCAGCGGTCGCGGCGGCGGCGGCGGCGGCGCGCGCGAGGAGGTGCGAGTCGAGGAGGAGCGGCGGGAGCGTGGCGGCGGCGTAGGACGACACGACGCGGCCGAACGGGCCGTGCCCGTCGAACACGGCGCAGAGCGCGCTGTCGGGGCGGCCGCCGAAGCGCTGCGGAGAGTAGCGACGGGGGTCGGGGGGAGCGGGGGAAGGGGGGGGGATACGGGGAAGGGGAGGGGGGAGGAGAACGGGGTGAAGGGGGGCGGGAGTTGCGAGACGGAGGGAGGGTAGCAGGGTGGGCGGAAGGCGGGGGTGAGGGGAGGGGAGATGAGGAGTCTAGTCCCCCCAAACTAGAAAGACCATCGCACTCACGACGCGTCCGCGCACAGTTCCGCTTGCACTTGCGCGAACAGTCACGTGCGCAAGAACGAAGACCCGACCCGACCTCCCAGTCGCGCAACGCGCGCGACTCTCGCAACGACCCGCGCGACGACCCGCGCGACTCTTGCGACGCTCGCAACTCGCCCGACTCTCACCTCCCAGAGAACGGCCGCGTCCTGGGTGCTTCCCCGCACGCCGTGCGCCATGTGCAGCGACCCGCACGCGAGCGACCCCGGCGCGGCGAGGCGCGTGGGGATGAGCGCAAGCACCGCCGCGAGGCGCTGCTCCGCGCGCAGCTTGTCCGCCGCGCGCTGGTTGAGCGGAGCTGATTGGGGAAGCGACGGGGAAACGCGTTAGAGGAGGGGGGAGGGGGGTGGGGGGGCGGGGGGTCGGGGGTCGGCGGGAGTGGGGAGGAGGGGGAAAGGGGAAAGCTAGGGATAGCGACGATGTGCGCGCGGAAGGCACGCCTCGAGAACAGGGAAAGCCATAAATACATCATCTTCCCCCAATGCAAATTCTAGGTTCATCTAATCTGCGTCGCAATCTAGCGGTCGAGTGTACTCCGTTTTTTTCCCTCACCTTCCCCACCCACCCCCTCCCGGCACGACTCACCAGACGATTTGCAAACCACGATTTTCATCTCCTCCTGTCGCTCGGTGACTTTTGAGTCGACTCAAAAGTCACCTCCCGGCAAGACTCACCAGACGATTTGTACACTACGATTTTCTTCTCCTGTCGCCCGCTGCGATCGCCATCTCTGTCGCCGTCGTCGTCGTGCGTGTACTTCCGCGTCGACGACCGCGATCCGCGGATGGGCGACAGCGAGCGCCAGGAGAGGCGGGAGCCGCCGCCGCCGCCGCCGCCTTTTCCACGCGTCTCCGCTCTCGACGACGATCTCACGCCGGCATCCGCAGACGACGGGGCGGCGACAGAGGACCTTCGAGGCGACTCAGGCGACGGCGTGCGAAAACTCTCAAGCGGCGACTGCGACGGCGACGGCGAAAACGATGAGGACGCCATGGTCGGATTGGAGCGTCTCTGCTCAGTTGCTTCCTCGAGGGCAGTCCTTCCTTCTCGGTCGCGAGTGACGCCGTGACTCACGCCAGCGCCATGGCTAGCGCTAAGACCGCCAACACCGCCGACACCGTGTCCAACGGCGTAATCTACTCCGTGCGGCGCGCCGCGATTGACGCCGCGGAGCAAGCCTGGCTCGACGGGGTGGTCTATCGACGCCATAGCCATTCGCGCTCTCACTACCTGAGACAACCGTGCGCCCTTGCGCTATCACTGCCCCCAAGGATCCTCCTTTCTGGAACGATGCCAATGCCGGTGTAGATGCTGGTGCGGGGGGCGGTGCGGGGGCGATCTGAGAGCTCGAGACTGCTGTTGCGGAACCCTTGGTTATCCCCCACGTTTTGGGAAAATAAGACACAACGGACTTTCCAGTTATCGGAGTGATTATGGTAGAGGAAACCTGATTTTGCGAGGTCCTAAAAGACGAGCACCTTCACAGCCGCAGGGGATCCGTGAACTGGACATGGCGATAACGGGTACTAGTCTGTTCATGAACCTAGGGTTTGGTGACAACGAGCCGCTTTCCTGAATAAACAACAACAACAACAAAAAAAAAAAACAAACAAACAAACAAACAAAAACAAAAACAAAAAAACGAGATACTGTACGGAGAATCAACCGTCAGCTACTGTCCCTCCTGGTTACCGTCTCACGCGCGATCGACCACACAGGCACTCAACCTGCTCGTTAACTCAGCGAACCTGTCCACTCTATGGCGACGAGGTCTCCTCCTGTCTACCTCACGTCTCGGTCGCTGAGTTAACTGAAGTGCAATGAGATGGTTGTAGCAGGTCCTATTCGAGAGGGATAAATACCACGGAATACCCTGTGTACCCTGTACCTTGTACACCTAAGTGACGTTGTTACGAAGGTGGATTGATTTCGCAAGTATGAAATTCCACCAGGGCAGAACTGGCTAACTCAGTCTGGGTCAACAATCTGTGGGTACTTGTTCAAATCAATTAATAAAAACATTTGCATAGGACTGGGGCCTCCTTTGCCCCTCCCAGCGCTGGGCGGTGTATTTGTGGTTCACCCCAACCGAGCCGCCACAACATGCTGTTCTTGCGATCGCTTCCCCCACGGACACCAGATCTGGTCGAGAGTGCGCGAAGAAGGCTTCGTATTGGTTGTTGAGTTCCCGTACAGAACGCGCACAAACCTGCTCGTGCCTTGTTCATCGGTCACCCCTACTTTACGAGACATAAATACCCAAGTCAGTACGGTAGTTTGCTATTAAAAAGACATATGTGTAGTACCGGGTGGACTGTGCCTCCATTATACTTCTCACTCCATCTCATGCTTCCCGGTCCCCCAACCTGAAGATAGCTATTACTCGCTGAAGGAGAAGGTCGAGAACCTTCTGGTGGAAGTCCCAAAAATGACCAGGCCCCTGTTTTTGACAACCACAACGCGGCAGGTGACCGAGGCGCACACCAGGCTTGACTGCGCGCGTACCATATGCAACCAATCAAATGCCTAAATGAAGCATCTCTACAGTTTCCCCTCCCCTCCCGCCAACGCTCAGCAAACCCTTCGGGACGGCCCACGCTGGACACGAGACGGGCTGCTCCATGTGGCACGGCGTGGCATAGCAACAGCGTCATTGGTTGGTTGAGTATACTGTAGCGTGTTTTCTTTCCAACATGAAAACGTCTTGGGCACTCAGACAGTTTGGCACACATCGCTTGTTCGGATTACAATGTTATATTTTATTTGGGTGCAACAATTGAAATACAGTCAGAAAGTATAAGTTTCGCCTAACATTTCGAATTTGGGGCAGGTGCCGAAACTGGGAATGTGTGATAAGTCAGACATGTCGCAGCGCGTCTTGACTGGAGAGGTTTGGACTCTGTTCGCCAAACTGTAGCATCTTGCTGTGCTGGGCACTGCCAGGTAAGCAGGATTACAATACACCTGTTTTTTTATTTTAGTATTCAACATTTTGTACGCGGTCTAGATCCGTAAGCAGGAAATTGTAAAACACGGGCAAACGGGACCTTGAAGGGGAAATCCCACAGTAAACAATGACACTTGGTTACAAAATCTCGCTCATGCACTAGATTAGTTGCCTGCGCGACGCCCCAGCTCTGAAACTCGCAATTGTCGAAACTCTACTTGGCTGTTCGCTATCGTTCAGACTGCAGCCAATCAGGTTCAGTGTCAACGCGAGTCATGCTGAGAACCTGGTAGGTGGGATTGCAATTTGGACAGTTCTAGGTGGGACAATAGAGGATAAATGGTGTACTCTTTTCCACACACAGCTCTGCTGAGCGTCTCGTCACCGCGAGTGAGGAGATGAGTCCCTCGCGCACCCCCTCTTTCCTCTCCTCCCAACCTCCCCCCAACCACCCAGCCTGCCGTGGATGTGACCTTCTTGGAGCTTGCTAGGAATCTACGCAGATGCCTAACACACTTCACAAGTGCCATGCGCTGTACCTATATAATTAAAAAAATGCTTCGACTAACCTATATCATTCTGCATTCTGTATAGGCCATGCTAAGAATAAACACTGCATAATATGGGCAAATTTTTGCAATCGATCACGAGCACGAGGTTTAGTGTTGTTGGATTTGATCCATGCAAAGGGTGCTATCTCATGTATCTGTCTTGGCCTTCTTAACCCCAGCCACAGACTTGAAGAACTCATACGCCACAAAGCGGATGGAGTTCTGGGGTACAACCTTGAGAGTGTTGGCCCACCACCCATGATAGAACCCCCTGAACAGGGCAGGACATGTGTGAAGGGTGGAGGAGACACACGCCACAGCAGGAGCATGGTTTGGGTATGCTACAGTGGGATGCCGCAGTGGGATGGGAACATGACAGGGAAAACGAAACTATGCTGGATGCATGGATGGCCTGGCATGCCAGGGGTTGGGGTATGAGATTCGATGGGACGAGACGGGATCGCATGGCATGGAGTGGTGTGGCATGACATGCAATGGGTAGGCCGTGCTGTGGCACGTACCGTGGGCCTTCTGTCCTGGCCATCGTGGCAAACGCATCCAGAGTGTTGCGGTACACCTTGCCCTTCATCTGTAGCCCCACCCCCACTCACAGCCACAACGAAGCCATGGTGAGAAAACCAGAGCACACACAGATAAACACGAAATTCCAGTGCGTTGAAAACAATAGCAGGATTTCTGGCTAGCATAGGGCATAACGTCAGGTTCCCCACTCTTCTCCCCCCCTCTCCTCGAGAACTGACCTGCATTCTCCTCCGCACAGTATCCAGGGGGTAGCACACAGTGGTGGCAATGGTGCCAGCCGTAGCTCCCATGAGAAGGTTATTGGGAATTGACTCCTTCACTGCTCCTGACTTGTACAGGGACGACTTGAGAAGGTCATACCTGGGGGGAGAGAGGGCGGTGAGACGAGGAAGGGGACATGGTGAGGGAGAAGAGGGAGAGGGGAGAGGGGGAGTAGAGGCGGTAGACAGGGAGTAGAGGCGGTAGAGGGGGGGTAGAGCCAGTAGAAGGGGGGTAGAGAAGGCTGGCAATAGAGGTGGAAAACGGCAGCAAAAGCCACGCTATAAAACGGATGTGGGAGTCACGGAATAGGGGCCAATGGGGACGACTTCGGTTTTAAAAAGCGGGTGAGAGGCGGGTGAGGTGTCAGATAAAGCGTGTCAACAGAGAAGGCATGCACAAACACAAGGGTTCCTAGAACGGGGAGAGCAAAGGAGATGGGCAGCGCTAGGGTGGTAGAGCTAGGGGTTTGGAAGACATGCTAGGTTGCGAGATCTATGTGGTTGGGAGGGACATGCTAAAGAGAGTTGGAGCATGCCGACATCAAGAGCCCATCTCAGGGTGACATGATTTGTACTCACGATGCAAAGTTGAGTGCAGCATACGGGGCGATACCCAGCAGTGTAGGGAATAGGCCCTTGTACAAAGCCAGTGGACCCTCCTGTAATAAGTATATTACAGGCAGGTGGGGGAATGAACACAGACGGGTCAGAACATAATAACCCATTTAGGATGGTCGAGACCAACGCATATCCACAGAAATGTGCCATTTCCTTATAAAAGTAGTTATTACGAGACCAACCAAGCACACGAGGGCGCTTTGCTGCCGAACCCCCACCCACGCATTTCCCACTTCACCATCCTCCCCTTCCCTTCCTACCAACCATCCCTCTCCCAACCAACGATCATGCCTCGTTCCTCCCCCCCCCCACCCTCTCCTGCCCCTCACCTTAGCAATGATCGTGCCAAATGTGCGCAGAATCCCCGTGAACCCAGTCACCAGCAGCCATCTGCAGCCGCACCATGTCCAGCAGGTGCGTCAGAACCCCTCTCTCCCCTCCTCCCCCTCTCCTCACCCACTCCCCCCCCCCCCCCCCCCCCACACTTCCCACGCATTTCCCACTTCACCATCCTCCCCTTCCCTTCCTACCAACCATCCCTCTCCCAACCAACGATCATGCCTCGTTCCTCTCCCCCCCCCCCCCCCCTTTCAGCAATGATTGTGCCAAAGGTGTTCGAGATCCCTGTGCACCCGGACGTGGGCATGGCCATGCGCAGCCGTACCGTGTCCAGCGGGTGCCACGTGTTCCTGGAACCCACGCACTCTTACCAACCGGATTGCACCCATTCAAACTCTCACACTTGTCCAACCCCCCCATCCCCCCCTCACCACCCCCTGTTCTCACTCTCCCCGTCCCATCCCACCCTCCCCCATCCCCGCCACCCCTTACCTTGGCAATGATCGTGCCAAAGGCGTTCGAGATCCCCGTGTACCCGGACGTGGGCATGGCCATGCGCAGGCGCACCGTGTCCAGCGGGTGCGTGAGCGCCGTGGCCGTCATGCCCGCCATGGCGCCCGCCATCAGCCGCTGCGGCACGGTCAGCTGCCCACTGGAGCCCGCCAGCAGCATCTTGTACTGCTCGTGCGACGTGAACTGAGGGGGGGGGGAATTAAGAGGGTGTGATTGATTACAGGCATCTTGTATTGCACGTGCTGTGTGAACTGGGGGAGGCGCAAGGGATATGAAAGGTACAGGGGTTGGAAAAGGAGGGGGTTTAAGCGAAGGTCCGCGCTGCGCTTTGGGCAGGTTCGTACAGCGCCGGGGCGAGTGGCTGGCACATCGGGGTTTGGGGTTTTACACACACTTTCAAGCTCTCCGCACAAGCGGTCCAGTGGCTGATCGAGCTGCGTAAACGCGCGTTTGCGGATTGCGCAATGCGGGGTGCGCGTTGTGGGGATGCCGTGGAAGAACAAGGTCACAAGGCACCAATCAGCATCTATCAGCGAGGGGAGCAGGGATGCGGGGATGCGGGGATGCGGGGATGCGGGGATGCGGGGATGCGGGGATGCGGGGATGCGGGAGCAGAGGAGCGGCAAGCAAGCAACAGCACGGCATCGTACCACGGCTTTAAGAAGCACAGCGCGAGAAAGAAGAAGCAGAGAGAGCGCGAGCAGCGCACCTGGGAAGCGGAGTACGGGAAGATGCGGACGATGTTGAGCCCGTTGCCCTTCCAGAACGCGCGGATGCCCTCCTCCCGCCCGATCTTCATTATGGCTTGCCCCACGCCCGTGTACGCGTTAGCAGACGTGCCTAGCTGCCCCAGATGCTGCACCTGTAGACCCAATAGCGTGCAGAGTGAGTTAAAAAACCGGGAGGAACTAACTGGCATATCCTGCTCTCAATCCCTCAATAAGTAGAATCATTAGAAAGGTTTACTGAAGTTAAGTTAATTCCGCAACAATGACAGAACCAGTGCTGAAAATTATAAACACTTTAGGCGATCCAGCGATTTTGGTAGTGCGGGAGGGGCTGAGTCCAATCTTGGACGTTATTCAGTAACGTACCTGGAGCAGAAGCTTGATTCGATCGAGCGGTGCCGTGCACGTTCGAGCAACAGCGCCTGCCATGCCGCCAGCGAACAGGAGCCGCCACGACCGACCACCTCTGCCTTGTTGCTTAGGAGGAGCAGGCGGAGCAGGGAGAGCAGGCTGCTGCTGCTCTTGCTCTTGTTGCTGCTCTTGTTGCTGGTCTTGTTGCTGCGTTTCTACCGCGGCTTGATCTGCCGATTCTGATGACGTGGAGGCTTTATCTTCCGTTGGTTTATCATGCTGACTCATATTCGACGCGATCGTGGTTAACGATCTGGTTTACGGTGACGTCAGCAAGGCGGAGACGGCACTTGGGGGGTTGCGATGAGCTCGGAAAGTAGATACGGAACGCGGCTGGACCTTTCAAACTGAAAATGCGGTTGTCAAAGCCTTTGGGAAGTGTAATGTGGGGTGATTATGGAAAATTCGGCGTTGGACGAAGGCGGGTTGCAAGCGGACGGCGTACTATAGAATATCCGGGATAGACACGCACGGTGGGATGGTTTTATACGGATACGAATGGAGGCGGAGCGGAGATGGTAGGTGCTACGGTTGTCAACGACGATGCGGGGATAAGGAGGCGGACGGAGATTAATTAAAGGATCGGCTCTTGCCGCGAAACGAAACGGCAACAGAGGCCGAAAACCAAGGCGGATCCCTCGTATGTGAGGTAGGCTGGGACAGAGAAATGTAAAATCCCCCCTGACAGCAGCAGCAAGAGCAGCGCCTTCGAAAAGGCCTTCTCTCTATGCGAAACGCTACTGATCAGAGTGGAGTGGAATATACCTGCTGTGTGCTGTTGATCGGGCAGCTCAGCCCAGACTGGGGATAAGGGAGTGGCTGGAGTGGCTGAAATCAGCAAGCAATTCTAGACCACTCACCTGCTCGTTGTCCCCTATTGGAGCCTGGTCTGTTTGGGCGCGAAAACTGAAGGGGTTCCCGAGGCTGAAGCGCGGCAGGGGGGTTCAGGAAAAAGGTTTCAGGGACGGTGGGGATGGGCGGGGGGCTACTCTTTCAAAGGAGGAGGTGATAGATCCGACGGTTGATAGCTCTTGTTGGCACCCCGAAGTCATCGAAGCTTGCGGGGGGTTTTCTGATAGTGAGGGAATTCATTCTCGAACGCAGTGGCTCGGTTCGGAGGCCAGCCCACCGCCGCACTTACCGGTACCAGACCTCAGCCCGAACCGCCGACCGAACCTTTCACGTCAATTCCCGGCAAGCTTCTCCGCCAGCCTGCCTAGGAATCGTTGTTCTCACAATTCCAATACAGTACTGTAATGTCATTTGTCCGCCCTAGTCAATACAGTGAATGTTTCTATCAACCCGAACACCATTATGCAATTTATTCAGCATGCTCCCTCCTTCACACTCTCCCTGTCTCTCGCTTCTGTCTGCTCAATTCCTTCCCGCTCGTTCTAAGCACACCTGCCCTGCCAGTTGCCTTGAGCTCCAATTTCCCCCTCCAACCCTCCTTCCACCATTGCCCACGCAACCAAATAAATCCCAGCCACAAGGTTAAAATCTGTGAGATGAGAAGCCTTATCCTTCTAAACTCTCTCAACGAAACCCTAGTTCCGATCGTCGCGCCGTGGTGCGGAATTTGCCTGATCTTTCTTTAGTATGTGTTCTCGCTAGACAAGATAGCCTGATGGATTGATCGCACATCCTCCGCTAACGATTGTTTCTAACTAGTATCAAGAGCTTTCTTCGCGGCTTGACTGCTTCTACCGATACCCCACGTGCGCATTCCGTGCAACCGACTTCTCCGTGGCCCTCCTCAACTCCGTAACCTCTCCGCAGACTCTCCGCGGACTCTCCGTGGGCTCTCCGTGATCGTCTGCCTATGGCGGTGACTTTGCCATCAGAGATCTCACGATACGGAGAAGCGCAGCGGTCTTTTGAAACCTAATCGCCTGCCACGATAAGAACTCGATTTCTATCGCGACGCGACGAGCACCGGATTTGGAGGTTCGAGCGGCTGCTATTGCCAGGAATGGCTCGGCTTCCATTGATTTCAAGAGCTGCGGATGATCCATGGCGGGTTTTTTGCCCCAGAAGCTCGGATGCCTTGAGAAGAGAGGAATCTCCTTGAGGGGTTTGAAGGTCGTTCCGGAGGTACTAAAAGGAGTACTTTGTTAAACATCAGGTCTTCCTTCTTTCGCCAGAGGTAGTCAGTTCCGTAACCCTGCTCTGTTTGTTCTCTGGAAATGTTAAGTCAATTTTCAGATCCTTCAACCAGAGCGATTTCTATCCTTTTTGCCCGGGATTATCGACTCAACTTTCTGACGCTGGAGTCTGTTCTAACGTGCAATTTCGCGCGCAAAAGCCTATCGCCGGGTACACGTGGCGTGCGTAGCGGTGCTACAATCTAGGCGTGTATAACGGTCGTACACTCGTGTCCGCGTGTGTAGCGGCGGTGTTACAGTCGTAGCGTCAACAGCCTCAAGCGCCAGCAGACTTAAGCGTCAACCGCTCCAAGCGTCGACATTCTTAAGCGTCCACAGAATTTTTAAGTGCGAGGCGACGGGAGGGGAGGTAGCGGGGCGGGCGAAATTTGAGAATTCGCAAAAATCACCCACGATGACGGGCGATGTGGCGGAGCTGGTGGAGCAGTACAAGTGCGAGCTTGCGGAGCTGACGTTCAACAGCAAGCCCATCATCACCAACCTCACCATCATCGCGGGCGAGAACGCGCACGCCGCCAAGGCCATCGCCAATACCATCTGCCAGCACATCATCGAGGTACTGCTGCTGCTGCTCTCCTGCTGCTGCTTCGTGGCCGCTTTCCTGCTCCTGCTTCGTGGCTGCTTTCCTGCTGCTGGTGGCGTAGGCTCAGTCGGTCAGGGTTTGATGGCGGCCGTAGGCTCCGCCAGGGGTTTTGCGGGATGGATCTTCTTTCTTTCTTCGTTTTAGGGTTTTTGGGAGCGGCATGCAGCATAGTGAGGTGGCGGTTTTTTCATGCCACCATTTTCCCGAACCACTTCTAGTCTATTATATATATTTCCCTGTTCCCAAACGGTTTGCTCTCTTCGTCACTGGCCGGATTTGATCTCCATGTCCGCTTGTTCGCGCGCTGGCGTGATCCCGTGTTTGCCTGTTTGTTTATCTCCCCTCCCCCCCCCCCCCCCCCCTCCCCCCCCACCCCTCTTTTCCTTGCATCTCCGGCAGGTGCCCCGGGACCAGAAGCTGCCAGTGCTGTATCTACTGGACAGCATCGTCAAGAACGAAGGCGGGCCCTACATTGACGTCTTCGCCGCTCGCCTTCCCGAGGTACTGCCGTGCCGCCATGCCGCCGCGCCGCCGTGCCCTCATGCTGCCTCATGTTGCTGCTTCGATGTTCGTTTTGCTGTGGAGCTGAATCCTTCTGCTGATAAAATGCTGTCAAGTTTAGACTGTTCTGTACCACATTCGCTGCTGCTGTGTGCATGCGCCGTTCTCCTGCGTTCACTGCAATACCTGCTGCTTTCTTCTGTCTCGGATCCCTCCCCTCCCTCCCCTCCCTCCCCTCCATCCCCTCCGTCGCCTCCTCTCGCCTCAGCGTCTCCTCCCTAACTTCTCTCCATCGCCCTCTTGTTCGCCCTCTCTCCCCTTTCCCCCCCACTCCCCTTTCCCCCCTCCCCCCCCCCCCCCCGTTCCTCCCCCCGTTCCTCCCCCCTTTCCCCCTCCCGGGCCCCTTCCCCCGCTCCCTTTCACGCGCAGGTATTCTGCCGCGCCTATGACCAGGTGGACGGGGGAATCAAGCCCCAAATGCGCCATCTCTTCGACACCTGGCGCAGCGTCTTCCCCCATCAGCCCCTCCGCGCCATCGAGCTCCGCCTGCGCTTCCCCCCTCCCCCTTCCGCCACCGGGGGGAAACCCCCTCCGCCCGGCATTCCCCCTGGCGCCATGGGGGGAGGGCATATGGGGCCGGCGCATCCAGGGCTCCCCCACCATGGTGCTGGCGGGGGGGGAGGAGGCGGGGGTGTTCCGCCCAATCACGCGCAGCATCCGCATCATGGGCATCCGGGCATGGGTTCCCCGCACCTTCCCCCCGCCATCCCCGCGCACGCCAGAGCGCATGCTGGGGGAGCAGCGGGCAGAGGGGGAGGGGCGGGTGGCGGAGGCGCGGACGGCGGGGGAGGTATGCCGTTGGACTCCCCTGGCTCGGGGAGAATCCATGTGAACCCCAAGTATCTGAAAGCCGCGCAGGTGCAGCAGCAGCAGCAGCAACAGCAGCAACAGCAGCAGCAACAACAGCAGAGGATGCAGCAGCAGGTGAGCATGCGTGACAGGGGGGGGAACGAGGGGGGGGAATTGGGGGGGAATTGGGGGGGAATTGGGGGGGAATTGGGGGGGAATTGGGGGGGAATTGGGGGGTAATTGGGGGGGGTTTGGGGGGAAGTATGACAAGTTTCTTCAGATCCCTCCACCGACTCTTGAATGCACTTGGAGTGCCCGACTCCTTACCCTCGTTCTCCTCCCTCCCATTCCCCACATTCCCCCCCAATCCAATCCCCTCCTCCTTCTCTCCCCCTCGCTCCCACGCTCTTCCCCCGCTGTTTCTGCTCCTTCCCCCCTTTTCCCCGCGTCCCCTTTCCGCTGGACCTAGGGTTTGGCCTCTAGGCGAGCAGCAGCGGCAGCAGCAGCCGGCATAGCAGCCCAGCAGCGGCACACTGCAAGTCCGCGCGCAGGCAATGGCACGCTACAGCAGCGCCGAGCAGCAGCAGCGGCGGCGGCGGCAGCGGCAGCAGCTAGCAGGGGGTCGGATGGGCGCGCAGCAGAGTGGGGAATCACAGCCCCCTCTGGAAGATCCACAGGGGCAGGTGGGGCAGGTGGGCTAGGGGGTGCTGCTACCTCTACCTCCTCTTCCTCCGCCTCTGCTGCTAATGGTGGCTCCGGGGGAAGGGCAGGGGGAGGAGCGGGAGCAAGGGCGCTGGAACGGGAGAGAGGGGCGGGGGGGAGGGGAGGGGCTGCGGGGAGGGGAGGGAGGGGGGCGCGGGGGGTTGCGGGTGTGGGTAGAGGAGCAGGCAGAGCGGGAGGAGGGGGGGGAGGCGCAGCAGTAGGTTCGGGGTCTCACCCCGCTCGTGCTTCGGCTGCAGCTGCTGCAGCAACGGCAGCAGCAGCAGCAGCTATGGGGAAGATGAAGGGGGGTAGAAGACCCGGGGGGTTAGGTAGTGGCGCAGCAGCAGGGGGGGCCGTTCCGCCGCCGCCTCACCCGGTTGGCAGAGGGCGCGGGGCTCCTCCAATGAGGCAACGCCACGTGCAGCCAGCTGTGGAGGTGTATGAGGAGGAGGAGGAGGAGGGGCCGCGGTTAAGAGCCCAGTATGGAAGATACGGGTTAGAGGGGGAGGCGGAGGAAGAGGAAGAGGAGGAGGAAGAAGCGGAGGAGGAGGAGGAGGAGGAGGATGAGTTGGTAGGTCCTGCAGTGGAGTATGACGGGATGGAGGGGAGGGAGGGGGGGGCGGACGGAGGGGGGGACGATGGGGGGTGGTTGGATAGGAGGGTGGCTGTGGATGATGATGAAGATGAGCAGGAGGAAGAGGGAGGGGACGAAGCGTTTGCAAACGACATGACAGGTGAGTGAGGGCGTGTGTTATCATCACCATCTGTCTGTATTTCCCAACCTTCCCCTTCTTCCTTCCAGCTGCTTCTCACCCTCGCTGCGATTCTTCCCTGCAGTTTCTCCGCCTTTGCTGCTTCACGCCCTTCTCTGCGTCTCTGACCTTGCTGATCGTCTCCCTCTCGCTGACTTTTGAGTCAACTCAAATTGTCAGTCCCTTGCCGTTTGTCCCTTCTCTGACCTTGCGGATCGTCTCCCTCTGGCTGTGGCTGTGCAGGAGGAGGAATGGATCAGTTCGCACCCCCCCCTCGGCCCGCTCGCTCCATCCCCGATCGCTACCACCGTCCCGCTGCTGCCGCTCCTGCTGCTGCTACCGGTGCCGCACGGGGAAGGGCAGCAGCAGCAGCAGCTGATGACCGAATGCTTGCCGGTGCTTCTACGAAGCCGCTAGTTAGAGGGAGGCCTGCTCGAGTGCTGCGTGCCGCACATACAGGAGGCGCTGCAGGTGGTGTGGGTGCCGGTGGTGCTGGTGCGGGGGAGCGGGTAAGCAGCACGCATTTCCAGTGGAAGGAGGTTACTGAAGTGGTTCCTGCCCCTATGGTGGCTCGCCAGCAGCAGCTTCGTGCACGGGAGCAGGCTTTGCTTGATGATGATCAGGTATCGAGTTGCTCTGGCTGCTGGCTGCTGCTTGTTGTTGTTGCGACTTGCAAGCCAGCTCAAGGCCACCACATGCCAATTGGCCCATAGCTTCTCTCCCGTCTGCCTCCCGTCTGCCTCCCTTCTGATTGTCCAGCTTCCCGACTAATCTCTTTCTCCTCCGTTTTTTCTCCGCTTTTTCTAATCTCTTTCATCCCCTTCCTCCCCTTCCCCCCCCCCACCCCCACCCCCTTCACCCGTCCCCCATTCCAGGGGCTTCCCATCCCACCCCGCTCCGCCCTCCGCCGCCCCCGTCCCCCCAGCGATTCCTTCCCCCTGCAACCAGACCTGCCCGGCCCCTCCCACCTCCGCTCGCGCCCCCACCACCCAGCAGCAGCCGACCCCCGCGTAGCAGACACCTGGCCCGCACCAGCAACAACGTCCAGAGCTCTAGCAGCAGCAGCAGCAGCTAGAGCAGCAGCAGCAGCAGCAAGAGTGGCGGATCTGGGCCCGGACTTACCAGACGTGGACGTGCACGACCTGCTGCCACTCCCTCGCTCCTCTGCTCCCCTTCCCGCTGCTCCCGCGCCACCGTATCGCGGCGCCCATCCCCCTCTCCCGCCTGCGTCTGCTGCTGCGGCTAGAGGGTACCAAACGGGTGAGCAGTTTGAGCAGTTTGGCCCAGATATGAAGCACCTGCCTGGTGTCGGCTCGTCCGGGGATTTGGCATTGGACGCAGCAGCAGCAGCAGCAGCAGCTCTTCCCTTCTCCTCTCACCAGCTCACGTCCCTGCTGCAGCAGGTCGGTGCTGCTGTTGGGAATCTCCCTGGAGAGAGACAGACAGGGGCAGCAGCAGGAGGAGCAGGAGCAGGAGCAGGAGCAGGGACACCACTGCCACCGCTTTCACCGACAACCCTTCCAAATCTGCCGTCCCCCACTCCTCCCCATGCTCCCCATCCTGCTGCTCCTCCTCCTCTCGGCCTGCCTCTTCCCAGCATCCCGCCTCTCCCTCCACATGCCCCTCCCAGCGCGCTCCTTTCGTCTCTCGCCAACCTCTTGCCGCCTGCTTCTGCTGTGCGTGCCCGCATGCCCGTCTCTCCTCCCCCTCCCGCGGCCGCCATGCCTCCTCTCCCTCCTGCACTTCCGGCTTCCCTCTCCTCCCTGCTCCCGCCTGTGGCGCCTCCCTATTCTGGAGCCTATGGTGCTGGTGATTATAGCAGGGACAGTGTGGGGGTGGGGGAACCCCCTTCGGTTGCTGGTGCTAGTGGTGATGGTGGGGGGGGGGAAGGAGGGGGGGGCGCGGGTCTGTCTAACCTTCTCTCCTCGCTTTTGACTCAAGGTGTTCTAAACATTGGCTCTTCCGCAGCAGCAGCAGCAGCAGCAGGAGGAGGAGCAGCAGGAGCAGCAGGGGTGCCCCCCACAATGCCTGCATCCTTTACTCCTCCTCTTCCTCCCCTCCCCCCATCGGCACCCCCTCCCTCCCTCGCCACCTCCCATCCTGCACCCTTTGACCGTGTCCCCACCCCTCCCTTGCCCCCCCAACACCATACCCCCTTCCCACCACACGCGCCACATGCCCCCTCCCAACCGCCCCAGCACTCCGCATCCCCCCACCCCCCGTTCCCCCATCCGCACCCTCCCCCTCCCCCTGCTCCACAGGACCTCCCCCCTCCTTTGCGTATTATATCACATGCGGCTCTGGCGTCAGTAGGGCGGGAGATTAAGCAGGAGGTGCTAAGATCCCGCCATGAGGCGGTCGTTGCCGCCCTCTATTTCGACTTCCCCCGCCAGTGCGCCACATGCGGACGAAGGTTTGCCGACCAGGAGGAGTACGGGCGGCACCTGGACGGGCATTTCCTGAAGCGGAAGCGGTTGAAGCAGCAGAAGGCGCAGTCGCGCATGTGGTACGTGTCGACGCGTGATTGGCTCTCAGAATCCACCTCTTCTGCTGCTGCTTCTGGTGCTGTGCCTGGTGCTAGTGGTGCTGCAACCGAAGCAGGGGGGATGGGAGGAGGGGCGGGTGAAGGAGCAGGAGGAATGGGATCAACGAGAGAGGGAGAGGGAGGCGGAGGAGGAGGAGGAGGGGCTGCCTCTAGTGGTGGTGCTGCTGCTGCTGAGAGTAAACTAATGCCCGGTGTTGCTGTTTCTTCTGCTGCTGCTGGCGGGGCGGCGGATAGAGGAGGGATGGGGATTGAAAGAGGAGATGGAGGAGTAGGAGGAGGAAGAGAGGGCGGAGGAGGAATAGGCGGAGGGGAAGGGGGAGTTGTGGGTGTCAGTGAGGCAGGAGGAGGGGTGGGGGATCAAGGCGGGGCGAGTCTAGCGGTGCCTGCAGAGGAGGAGGCGGATGACTGGTGTGCGCTGTGTGGGGAGAAGTTTGCAGTGTTCTTTGATCCCGAGGAGGACGAGTGGATGTATAGAGGGGCCGTGGTAGAGGGGGTGGCAGGAGGTGTTGTTGCTGCTGCTGGTCGTACTGGGGAAGGGGTAGGGGAGGGGCGACGCCCCCGCATTGTGCATGCGACGTGTCGAGAGGTATGTTTGGATGTGGGCTTGGTGTGCCATGTCCCGCTGTTTCTCGCCGTTTGTTTCTCTCTCTCTCTTTCGTTTCCAATGTCTGAATTCCCTTTGGTTCGCTTCATTGTGAGACAAGAAGCGCTGTCTCTTTTTTCCAGCTTTCCCGCGCTGCTCTCACTGTATTCCCTCTCCCTCTGTTTTCGAATCTCCCCACACTTCCTGGCCTCCTGTACCTGTCATGATTGTTTGCATGCCTGAATGCCCGAACACACACACGCACACACCTTTTTTTCCATCTCCCCCCTCCTCCTCCTCCCCCCCTCACGCATGCATCCCCATAACCTCATATGAACCACACGAACACATGCACGAACGCACGCATGCATGCATGCATGCATATGCATCCGCGCATTCCATGGCCTCAGGCGAGCACCAGCAGAGGTTCTTCGGACAGCAGTCGCAGCAAGCGCCTGCGAGTGGAGTGACCGGGAAGACAGTTGCAGAGAGGGCACAGCAGAAGCAGGAGGCCCAGCAGAAGCCTTTGCTGGCACAGCAGTTGCGAAAAGCTCGAGCCAACAGGCGCGTTTTCGTTCGAAAACGTGTCTACTATTGACCACCCGATACTACCTGCCTGCTTTTCACGTTGATCGTCAACTCTGATGTGCCGCGCTGCCTTCGCGCTGCCTTCGCGCTGCCTTCGCGCTGCCTTCTGTTTGGGGGCATACAAACTCCAAAACGGTCACGCTGCATTGCACCACCACGCGACACACGTGATGTGCCGTGAGGGTGCCCTGATGCCATGATGCAACCCGACAGACAGGGAGGAACCAATGAGGCACGCATGACTCATGAGCGAACAGCGCTGTTGCTGCCGGGCTGGCTCCTGATGTTACTGGTACTGTTGCTGTTGCTGCTGCTGCTGCTGACCCAGCCATGACTGCCTTTCAGAGCCGGCGAAGCCACTGCTAGTACCTTCGGTAGGAGTGACTGACAGGGCACAACACAACTCATGACTCACGAGTCACATCAAGGGTTTTGGGGACAAGATGAGGCACGAGGTGCAAAATATTGGCGCGCCATGGCATCAAGTTCCCTGGTGCAGTTGTTCCTTGGGTTATATCCGTGTGACGAAGGCTTGGGCCTTGGGCAAGACTAGGACGGGCGCAGGTGTAGTGTGCGTGCTGGAATGGGGGCAGGTTGGCCTACTGCATTTGGGTGTGCAGATGTCAGTGCCTGTGGTGCCTGTAGGTGCAGTTGCTGGCATTGCAAGTGCAGGTGCAGCCCCTAGACATGAGCTGCAGGTGTTGGTTTGGTTTCTCGTGGTCGGCTTGACTGTACTGGTGGGAACTGTTTGGTTTAGGTGAGGTGACCCGTTGCCGTCTCTCCTCTCAGGCTGACAAGAAATGGCTGCCTACCTAGGATCGTGGACTTGTTTGTCTGCTGCACGGAAAGCATGCGGTCTGACAACTGATGCTGAGGGGTAGTATGTAGCTTGTTTTTCTGTGCTTTGGCCTGCTGTGCTCTGCTCATTGCTCCGCAGTAGTCCCCGCTCCATAAACCTGCTGCTGCTGCTACTGCTGCTGGTGCGATCGGTAGTGTTCCTGCACAGCTGTGTCTGGTCTCTTTGACACTGCTTCCCTGTGCCTGCTACCTCAGCGCTCCATCATTCTCCTCCATTGTTTGTCTTGTTTAGGTGCCTCATCCCTGCTGACCTGTAGATGCACGTTAGTGTGCTCCCTAACACTGTCCTGCTTGTTTGAGGTGGTTAGCTGTTTAGATTGTGACCAATGACCATGTTGCTGCTGTATTAGTCGCCTAGACGTATGCACATAGCGGTTGATGTAGGTTGGAGTATTTCTATGAAGCTTAGTACCATATGTAAACTCTACAATGCACACCTCTACCATCTCTGTGCCATGGGTGGGACTCACGGCTTGTGTGTGGGGTATCTGATAAGATCTCTAGTTGGCTGACTTGACTAATAAAGTGCAGCCATTCAGTGCACGTCAGCAGAACTTGATATTGGTTCTCCCAATCCGCGTGGGGCCTGGTCGTCTTGAGCCTATCACTGCGCAGGCCTGATAAAATGCGTCCGTCAATTCCAATTGGGTGGAAAATAGCCCAGAAGACAGGAATGTATGCCACGTGGTACATTTCCTCCATTACGTACATTTCATGTCTACTAGCCCGAAACTCAGGAATTACGGGATACATTTTCTTTCGCACACCGAGTTTTGTGAAAGTCGAGCCGGGAGAATTACCACCGAATCAATAGACAGGGCAGCTCAAGACTTCACAAAACACGTCTGATTTTTGGGACAGTCTATCCCCGAGTTCACATCGTCTCCGATTTCTAGATCCTTCGGTCAGGAAACTCTGTGCTCTCTTGCTGGAAGCCCAACCTGCGCTTTTTCCCCGGTGGAAAAGGGGCTTCGCGATTTTTCCACGGTTCAAGCTTCAAATATCTGCTGCATTCCTCGAGGCCAGGGAAGGCAGCAAGGAAAGCTGTGTGTGTGTGCCATAGAGAAGCCCACAGGACAGGAGTGAATCTAGGCTGGGAAATGGACAAAGGCGTGACGAAGTCAGCCCTCTGACCTGTCCTCTCCACCCTCCTCTCGCCCCACCCAACACTGCAGTACAACGCCACCCGTGAGTCCGTGACCTGTCCATTGTGCTCTCCTGTTCTTTCACCAGTTTGGCTTCTCGCGTATCGCCCTAGCCCCATCTGCTTTTCTTCTCCCTCGGTTTGGTTTGGTTCCTGAATCTTCAGCTTGCTAGCACAGGGTTCTTGGCTTGGCTCGTCTGTAGCGGCATTCTCTACCAGCACCATAAGCTTAGATCTCTGTGTATCTTGATCCACTTGTGCTGACAGCCACCCCTGGCTATTTCGCTTTAGTGGCACTATCGGGCCCTCTGATAGCTCCTCGCTCATACCTCTCTTTCGCGAGCAACGCGTTCTTATTAGTGGGCTTGTTTTTTTATTTTTGGTCTTCATCCGCGTTTCCAGATTTTCCAGCTCGTTATCGAGAATGATTCTTCGCATCGTGAATCCCCATGCCGCCGGGCGTCCCATTGCCCAGATTTCTCGCACAGCATCGTCGCCAGCGTCGTCAGCGTCATCGTCGCCCCTGCCAGAACGAGGCGCCGGATTCGCGATAAGCGCATCGTCAGTTACCAGCAAATCTGTGTCGCTCGCGAGGCCCTTCCACCACCATGCTCCCGTGGTAACATTTCGCACATTCCGTAAGCCTTCCGCCGTGCGTGCGATAGCGTACTCGAGTTGTAGCCGGAGCACGGCGTTGTCCCAGCAGCACTGGGGGGGGTTGACGAGGCGTGCTCTAAACCGAGTCCGAGACCGAGACCTCTCCGGTCTTTCGCCCGCGTCAATTTCTTCGAGGCCGCAAGGGAGAGTGGCGGGTTCGACGTCGATCCGCGCGGAATCGGAATCATCTGAGCCGTCGCCTGCAGGTAGCTGCTTATGAAGAAAAACACAAATAAGAATAAATAATTGAATCATGTTTACTGGGGTGTTTCTCTGGTTTCTTGCCTGTTGTTTCTGGGGAAGAAGGTGGCCTAATTCCCCACCTGGTGCATTCCCTCTCTTGGCTGTTTCTGCCCTTGTAATCTCCCTCTCCATTCAGCCCGTTCTCCCCACGTTTACTTGTACCTCGGGTGTAATTTGTTTTGTTTCAAGCGCTGGTCGTATTCAAATGAGCGTGCCGCTTTCCGCTGAACCTAAACACTATCTAACCTAACCCACCTGCGACACGTGCAGCGGCGGCGCCGGCAGCGGGGACGGTGTCAGTGGCATTCCGTCTGACCCGGCAGTGCGCGTACGGGCAGAAGTTCTTCGTGTCGGGCGCGCACGAGGCGCTGGGGGGGTGGGACCTGGAGAAGGCGATACCTGCGGAGTGGTCGGAAGGGCACGTCTGGACGGCCAAGGCGGTGAGACTGACTGACGGAGTGACTGACTGACTGGCTGACTGACTGACGGACTGACTGACTGACAGTGTGACTGGCTGACTGACTGAGTGCCTGACTCGCTTTACGTGATCTGCCAGATGCGCCATTTTGATTGGTCAGATCAGCGCAGCTTGGAGTTTTCAGTCCGCGGAACATGTGAGGCGGTGACGAAGCTCGCGGTGATGGGTCACCGCTGGTTTCCCGTTTCGTGACTTTCGTGAGAACGTGACTGGGATATGGAGGGGGGTGTCACTGATGCGTCAGTGGTGCCCACTGAAAGAGCAGATCCTGTCCGCTTGGCAGCCGACTCCCAAGTATACTTTCAGCAGGCAGATAAGAAGTATACTCTAAGTCTGCAGCGAGCATCGGCATCGCTAAAATAAAAAGGAATAATTAATTTATGTTTTTTTGTTAAGGCCAAAAGGAAACTGAGGGTCAAGTGTCAGGGTTCGGCTATGCCAGTGACCCATGTAGGGAGCTGGTGCAAGAGAAAGCAAGAAGGGGTGTCAGAGGGCAGTACTAGTGGGGTTGACAGCGAGAATGGCATGAGGTCTGGCAGTACTTGTGGGGTTTAACGTCACTGCAGAGGCGAAGCCCCTCGTGCTGTCTCTCTGCCCTCCAGTGTGTTATGGTGGGGAAACTTTTGAGTCGACTCAAAAGTCACTGCAGAGGTGTAGCCCCTCCTGTTGTCATTCTGCCGTTCCAGTTGTTATTGTGTGGAAACAGCGCCAGGGGGAGCGGCCGTTAGTCACTTGAATTGTAGAAGAGAAACCGTTTCCAACCCCTCTCTTTCAACTTCTCCTCCCAAGTGCTGCCGCGCAATGCGCGCACGATGCGTCGCTGCTGTTCAAGTGCGTGATGGTGGGGAAGTGTGGCGAGGTGGAGTGGCAGCAGGGCCTAGAAGCGTCACAATACCTGTTGTCAATACCTGTTGTCAATACCTGTTGTCAATACCTGTTGTCAATACCTGTTGTCAATACCTGTTGTCAATACCTGTTGTCAATACCTGTTGTCAATACCTGTTGTCAATACCTGTTGTCAATACCTGTTGTCAATACCTGTTGTCAATACCTGTTGTTAATACCTGTTGTCAATACCTGCTGTCAATACCTGTTGTCAATACCTGTTGTCAATACCTGTTGTCAATACCTGTTGTGAAACCCGCTTTCCTTAACCCCATGTGCCATCCCCTTCCTCTCTTTCCCCAGGTGGTGCCCCAGAACGCATCCCTGCCGTTCAAGTGTGTGATGGTGGGGAAGCGGGGCGAGGTGGAGTGGCAGCAGGGACTTGAACTGTGTAAAGAAACCCTTCGTAACCCCTCTCATTCCACTCGTCCTCCCCATGTGCCGTCCCCCCTTCCCTCCCAGATGGTGCCCCGCAACGCATCCCTGCCGTTCAAGTGTGTGATGGTGGGGAAGCGCGGCGAGGTGGAGTGGCAGCAGGGCGGCAACCACTGCCTGGACACCACGGCCGTGGGGGCGGTGATAGATGTCGATGTGCCATGGAGCACAGCCGACGCCCTTGTCATCTCCAACCGGGATGATCTTGACTCCCCCTCTGCTGCTTCTGCTGCTGCGGCTGCTGCTGCTGCTCCACCTGCGCGCAAACCTGCTGGGAATGACGCTGCTGCTGTTGCGTCTGATGCTGCTGCTCCTGCCACGCCTGCTGCTGCTGCTCCTGCTGTTGTTCCTGCCGTTGCCACTGCTGTTGTTCCTTCTGCCGCATCTGCTCCTAAGCCGCTAGTGGCTGTGCCGCCTCGTCGCCCTGCTCCCCTAGTAGCAGCGCCGCCAGCACGCCCTGTCGCCATCACTGCTGCGGCTGCTCCTCAGCAAGTTTTCGTGGGATCACCAACAGCAGCAGCAGCACCAGCAGCACCAGCAGCGCCAGAAGCACCAGCACCAGCACCAGCAGCAGAGAAGGTAAAGGGGTTCGGACGCCAGTGGTTGGCATTGGGGTGGCAGAGGGTGTGAATGGGGGTGAGTGCTGTGCGAATTGGTCAGATTCTGCACTTTGGAAGGCTTTGGGTTTGACATCTCCTTTATTCTCCTCCTTACAATTCCCAACAAGCATTGTTATTGAGTCACTGCTGTGCCTCGCTTCCACTCGTTTTCCATTCACACACTGCTGTTGAGTTGTGGCACCTCAAAATAGACTCCCTAAACCCTGAGTCACTGCTGTGCCTCTCTTCCACCTCGTTTTTCACTCGCTGTTGCGAGGGTAGCCTCATCGATTCCTCGCTCCTTCTGCCTCTGATGTTGCCCTTTCAGGCGCAGGTGTCGACAAGCAGCAGCAGTTTGGGGGTGAAGGAAGCAACGCCCGCAGCAGCAGCAGCACTGCCAAAGCAACGTAAGCCAGCCAAGCCCCGGACAAGAAGACCACGGCAGCCACAGCAGCAGACAGGCCCGGCAGGGGAGCAGTAGTGTGAGAGGTTCTTGACTAGATTACAGGGTGGCTGGAATACATATGGTGGCTGCTATACTGTGTTGTGCACTGTTGAATGGCTATGGATTGGGGGAAGAGGGGGGGGAAGGGAGAGTGTTCGCCCGCTGGGGCGGCTGGAAGGAGGGGTGTGTGTGCTGGATGATAGGGGATCAGGAAGTGATGGCCATTATAGCTCACAAAAGGAATGGAGCTGCATGGCATGATGATGGTCTGATGGAGATGGCATGCTGGGATGACGCCACATGATGTCATGTCATGTGACTCGAGTCATGACTCGTGGAAGGGGCAGCATGGTGTGTCGGTGATTAGTGGCGGATACCGTTGCTGTAATAGTAGGTAGGAGCATCATGAACTTGTGGTAGTAGAGTCATGGTGCAAGCATGCTTGTCTCTCTCTACTTACTGCACTGGAAGTCTGGAAGTCTGAAGGCTCAGCAGCATCATCAAGTCTGCCATAGCATGCAATGTGTGCATGTGTTACTACTACCATACCTGTATGCCAATATCATACCGTAGTCACTGAATGGACCTTTAATTGTCAGTCTCAGCAGCACCCATTTAGTGCAATTCTGATGAGATGAGATATGGTCTGGTGCAATGCGGTGCAATATGGCATGAGAAGAGAATCTTGGCAGACAAGTCCTGTAACCGCAATCACTCCTACCTACTACACCTGGGAATTGGCCGTGGACAATACGGCACCAATATTGAAAGCAATATACTGGGATGCGATGCAGTGCAGATAAGCGTTCTTGATAATCCGTTGCGGGGGGACAAGTGAGTCACCCCTAAAGCCCAAATTTACACTACACGCGCTGGTACTGGTAGTAATACACGGAGGGTGCCACCAACCAGCCAAGCACACTGCCCTTACCATGCCAGGCAGAATCCCTCTACCACAAGGCATTCCCTCACCTTACACCTACGACATCCATCCCTTGGCTCCCTCTAGCCGGCTTCTCCAGCACACAGTTCAAATACACATGCAGCCCTTTCCTCTCCGTCCTATCTGTATTGCAGGGCATTTTTTAGACTTCTCAATTTCACCTCAGCTTACTTACACCTAGTGATACGACATCCATCCCTTGGCTCCCTCTCGCCGGCTTCTCGAGCACACAGTTCAAGTACACATGCGGCCCTTTCCTCTCCGTCCTATCTGTCTTGGGCATGAGACTCCAGAACCTCTTCTCATACCCCAGCACCTGCAGCACCCACACATAGATCCCCATCTCGTCCTTCGGCGCGTAGAACATCTCAAACCAGAGCAGCCCGCCCGGGCGGAGCACACGGTCCCACTCGAACAGCATCTCTTCGAACTCCAGCGGAGGCATGTACTTGATGCTGTTGATGCTGTGGATTATGTCCAGGGTTCCGTCGAAGAAGGGAAATCGCGCCTGGTGTGGTAGGTGTAAGGGGATAAGCCCCCGCGCGGCTATGGTTTCCATGTAGGGTAGCCCTGGTGCTGCTTCTGGTTTGCCTTTAAAAGCAGCGGTGGCGCCGGCAGCGGCGGCGGCTGCTGCTGCTGCTTCGCGGTTGAGGCCGGTTGTCATGATCGTCACGCCGTACTGTGCCATGTGCGCTGCAAAGGTGCCGCTGCCGCCTCCTATGTCCAGACCTAGTCTGCAAGGAAGGGAGGTCAAGATGAAGAAGCGATTGCATTGGGAAGGGGCGGGGAGAAGAAGGGGGGGTTGGAGGGGGCGAGGTGGGGAGGCAGGAAAAAAAACCCCATCCTACGCTATTCACCTTGCTTGGTGGAGTTGACTCACCTGAGCGACTCAAAAGAGCTGAGCGACTTGGGCTTCATGCGATGACGCCGGGCAAGGCAATGGAGCCAAGGAGATGGAGCCAAGGCAATGGAGCCAAGGCAATAGAGCCAAGGAGATGGAGCCAAGGAGATGGAGCCAAGGCAATGGAGCCAAGGAGATGGAGCCAAGGCAATGGAGCCAAGGCAATGGAGCCAAGGCAAGGCCAACAAACCCGTCCTTCTGCCTGACGGACAGCAAGCACCAGATCCGGCTTTGGATATATGGTGTGTGTTCGGTACACAACGCACACCACACCACACCACACCACACCTTTTGCTCTTGAACGATTTTCCACCCCAAATGACCTCCTTTCTCCACCAATCACAAGGGCCCGCCCTACGTTACTTGCCTGAGTGACTTGGGCTTCATGGCGATGACGTCAGCCATGGCGATGGAGCCCTTGTACGCACGGCGCCAACGGCGGGACTCGTGCGTCATGTTGAAGCAGTTGCGGCAGTCAGATGCAGTCAGCTGGTTGAGACAGCGGAACGAGTGGCACCGGTGCTGCTGCCACCGCACGTTGGAGTCGAGCAGGGCCTTCTGGCTGAACAGCGCATCTGGTACTGGCATGGGCTGGGAGGGGATGGGACGCAGGGGATACAGCGCGAGAAAGGGCGTTCTTAGGAGGCGCAGAATGCATCAAGTAAGGTGGCCATCTGGTATGGCGGTTAAGTTGGGCCAACAGCGCGACTCGTGCGCCATGTTGAAGCAGTTGCGGCAGTCGGAGGCGCTCAGCTGGTTAAGGCAGCGGAACGAGTGGCACCGGTGCTGCTGCCGCCGCACGTTGGAGTCGAGTAGTGCCTTCTGGTTAAAAAGCGCGTCTGGGATGGGCATGGGCTGGGATGGGAACGGGCACAACACAAGTAAGAGGCTGGTTGAGGCAGCGGAACGAGTGGCACCAGTGCTGCTGCCAGTGCACGTTGGAGTCAATGAGAGCCTTCTGGCTGACATGGGCGTCTGGTACCGGCATGGCTTGGAAAGGAAGGGACACAAGAGAAGAGGATGGTTGAGGCAGTGGTACGAGTGGCACCGGTGCTGCTGCCAGTGCACGTTGGAGTCAATGAGAGCCTTCTGGCTGAAAAGCGCGTCTGGTACCGGCATGGGCTGGGACGGGATGGGACGCAACGCAGGGGACACAGCACAAGAAAGGGCGTTCTTAGGGGGTGCAGAACGCAGCAAATAAGGTGGCAAATGGTATGGTGGTTAAGTTGAGCCAGCGGCGCGCCTCGTGCGTCACGTTGAAACAGTTGCGGCAGTAAGAGGCGCTCAGCTGGTTGAGGCAGCTGGACCACACTGGACCACACTGGACCACACGACCACACTGGACCTCACTGGACCACACTGGACCACACTTGACCACAGGACCACACTGGACCACAGTGGACCACACAGGACCACACTGGACCACAGTGGACCACACGACCACACTGGACCACACTGGACCACACGACCACACTGGACCACACTGGACCACACTGGACCACACTTGACCACAGGACCACACTGGACCACAGTGGACCACACAGGACCACACTGGACCACACTGGACCACACTGGACCACACTGGACCACACTGGACCACACTGGACCACACTTGACCACACAGGACCACTGGACCACACTGGACCACACTGGACCACACTGGACTGGATGACACTGGACCACACTGGACCACAGGACCACTGGACTGGACCACTGGACTGGACCACTGGACTGGACCACTGGACTGGACCACTGGAGACCACTGGACCACTGGACCATAGCACAGCATGGGGTGGGGCTATTCTTTGACAAGCTGACTTTTGAGTCTACTCAAAAGTCAGCCCTTCTCCTCGTGCTTCCTCATCCGTCCCAGGGGGGAGGCTATTTTTGAGGCGCCTCAAAGATAGACTCATCCGTCCCAGGGGGTGAGGCTGTTCGTTGACTGAGCCCACGCTCACCTCTCTAGGCTCCTCTGCGGTAGCAGCGATGCTCCTTCTCTTGGGCATGGAATTGCAGCCTTTATCAAACACCAGGTGCTGCACCAAGAGCCAGTCATCGGGAGCCAGGGCGGGGCTTGCTGGGAGGAGTGAGAATGACATTCAAAAGTACCCACGCTCACCTCTCTAGGCTCCTCCGCAGTAGCAGCGATGCACCTTCGCCTGGGCAGGGCATGGCACCCTTTATCGAACACCAAGTGCTGCACCAAAAGCCAGTCGTCAGGGCACGGTCCGCGCAGGGTGAAGTTGAAGTAGCGCCGCATGTCCGCTGCTGTGGCCTCGCACCGGTACGCGTGCGGCCCCGTGGCTGCTGCTGTAGCTGCTGCTGCCGCAGGGGGGTTGTACTGGGCCAAGGCTTGCTTCGCTGCTAGGAGGGCCTGAGGTGAGTGAATCAAAAGGGGAGGAGAGGGGGGGAGGGGGGGAGAGAGGGGGAGAGAGGGGGAGAGAGGGGGAGAGAGGGGGAGAGAGGGGGAGAGAGGGGGAGAGTGGGGGAGAGAGGGGGAGAGAGGGGGAGAGAGGGGGAGAGAGGGGGAGAGAGGGGGAGAGAGGAGGAGAGAGGAGGAGAGAGGAGGAGAGAGGGGTAAACAGAGGGGGGAGAGAAAGTGGGTCATATTGAGCCAGGGCCTACTTTGCTGGTAGAAGAGCCTGGGGAATTGCAGAATGAGGGGATGACAAGGAGAGGGGGAGGGAGAGAGGGGGGTGTTTTCAGATTAGCGGTAAGAGCGCCGATCCAGATGATCATCTAACTGAATAGACGCCTGCCTTCGTCTAGCCCAAACTCCCCACCCTGTCCCCCTTTCTGCCCTCCCTCCCGCCTCACCCTTCCCCCCCTCTTCCCCCCTCTTCCCCTCTCCCTCACTTCGCTCACCTCCCGAGACACATCACCAAAGTCTGGTTGTCTTAGGCGCCTCCCCCCATTCCCCCTCTCCCCCCTCCCCATTCTCCCCCCTCCCCTTCTCCACCCACCTCCCGAGACACGGTGCCATCACCAAAGTCTGGTGGTGAGGCGCCTCCTCCCCTCCCCCCTCTCCCCCCTTTCCCCCTTGCGCCTCCCTCTCTCCACGCACCTCCCGAGACACCGTGTCATCACCAACGGCCTCCTGTTCGTGCAACTGGCTCTCCAGGTGCAACTTCTCCGCCTGCAGCCGCGCCACCTCGCGCTGGAGTGTGATTCACGGGGGAAGGGGAAGAAAGAGGGAGGAGGGAGGGGGGGGGGGGGGGGGGGGTTGGGGGGAGAACATGGGAATGCACATGGGTTCTTGCGTCTGGCTCTCCACGTGCAGCTTCTCCGCCTGCAGCCGCGCCACCTCGCGCTGGGGGCAGAAGGATGGGGACGGGGGAGGGGAAAGGGGGGGATCAGGGGACGTGAGAGGGGGGGGGAAAAGGTGTGTGTGTGGGCATGGGGAATCAGGGCGTGAGGATGGGGGAGAGGGAGGGAGGAGCGACAGAAGAAATATAAGGGGAATGGAAGGAGAAGGGGGAGCAGGGGAGGGTGGGGGAATCAGGAAATGTGGGGAGGAAGAGGGGGGGGGGGGGTGTTTGTTGGTTGGGAAAAGGGGGAACAGAAGCAACACGCATTACCATACCACCCCCCTTTCGCTTCCATTCCAAACCGTCCATACTCTCACCGTATCCCCCTCTCTCGCACCCTCACCTCACTCGCTCCCTCTCACCCTTTCCCCCTCTTTCCCTCTCCCTCTCCCCCTCCCTCTCTCCCCCTCTCACTCTCACCCTCACTCCCTCTCACTCCTTCTCAATCCCTTTCCACCCCTCTCACTCTCTCACCCTGAGCTCCAGCAACTCTTTCTCCACCATAGCAGCGCTCACACCATCAAACGGGTTCCCCCCTTCCGCGGATTCCGCTTCCCCCCCCGCCCTCCCCCCCGCCTCCCCTTCCGCGTGTTCCGCGCGCGCCTTCGCTGCGCCCAGCAGGCGCGTCAGCTGCGCCTCGCAGCGCCCCAGCTCCGCGAACAGCCCCGCGGTGTTGGCGGAACTGCGCACGTCCGCGTCTGTGCGCGCCAGGAGAATGTCGCTGGGGGAATAATCGCGATAGGGGGGAAATTTGCGCAAGTGGGGGGAATTCAGCGCTAGAGGGGGGGAATGAGTGCGGGGAGGGGGTTGCGAGGAGGGAGCGGGGGAAGGGGAAGGGAAAGGGTAGGTGCTGGGGGATCGGCGCACGTCGACGTCCGCGCGCCCCAGGAGAATGTTGCTGAGGGGAACGATGCGCGGGAAATAGTGGGCGAGAGGGGGACGGAGAAGGAAGCAACGAAGAGCGGGAAAACTGGAACCTTTCAATATAAGAACGAACGCTTGTGAATCGTCCTAGAGGCAGCACAATATCCCCGTCTGATATCGAAATTTCATAAATTTAATTATAGTATAAGGTCAACTAAAAGGACGGACTCGTACCGGTAAAACCACAGAGAGGGGTAGGGCATTCTCCGAGAATGGCTCTTTCACCTTTGCTGCTGCGAGCAACCCGCGGGCCCGAACCAGAGCGAGAGGCAGTAGAAGAGCACGAGGAGAGCAGCCAGCGCCGTCGCTGCTACAGCCCTACTGACGCCGGGGTGCTTCCATGCTGTGCTCGACGACATCCGTCCGGTAGCGCTGCGGATCAGTCGGACGCGCTGCGGCGTTGGTGCTACAAGCCTACTAAGCCTTGGTGTTACACGACTTCGTGTTACAGGCGATACATGGATGGGATGTGATATCACATACAGCACGCGCGGAGGAATTAGCGTAAGCTCAGCTAGAAGTGTGCAAGAAAGAATTGAACTAGAATTACAGTACCAACATACTGTGTGCTCACGGCCTACAAGCTTGGGATAGACTGGTTTCGGTGTTGTCAGGTGCTTGCTTGCTGCTTTGTGTTTCAGCCGAGCCGCCTTCGGCAAGATGAGGTGGTGGTAGGTGGCGTGGATTGAAGACGAAAATGTGAACGAAAGTGTTACAAAATCCAGCGATGATTCGAAGTAACTGTATACACTGGATAGAAATCATATGCACAATACGCACATCGCTATACAAATTCTCCCATTTACAAATTCACTAACGCTTTATCCTTCAGGCAGCAGCCGAGGAAGTCTTGTACTGCTGCTGCTCCTGCCAGGTGGGCCCTCCCCCGGTCCCCAGAACCCTAGCCGTGCCCTCATATGCAGAGTGGGTGACATGGCTCACTTTATCCCCCACATACTCAGTAGCGCCCTTCACGCCCCCTGCCACGTAATCCAGGGACTCTGCGCCAATGGGCTTCTTCCCGCGCATGTAGTTGATGAGCCACACGAGGGAACCTACCCCCATGGCCGTCATAGTCGCCATGAACAGCGCTCCACCTGCACACCATGATAAACACAGACAAACATTATCTTGAGAATCACGAAGTGAGAACAGGGGCCATGGGATTTGATTGCGTAAATCAAATCCCTTCCAGATGGAAAGACAGACTACAGGGAAAGAGGGAAGATCAGCCACAGCTGAAAGATGGGAGGGGCATGTGACAGGTACGTAACCACTGGAGACAGGCGTAGCGCACTGCCGAGTCGAACAGCCCGGAATTCCATTCCCTCTCGCGTTCCCTCCCTCAGGCCGCTCTCGTCCTCTCACCTCCAACGACGGTCCCGAAGATGGCCAGCGGGACGAGTATGGGGGAGAAGAGCAGCAGGAGCGGCGATATGAGCAGCAGAAAGCCGCCCCCGCCGATAACTGTCGTCGCAGTCACGACTGTTGCGATGGTACCCGCGACTCCGAGGGTACCCAGCAGGAACAGGATATCCCTGTAGGACGGTTTGGAGAAGAGAAAAAAATCGTACACCATGTTAACCCGTTTCTGGCAAACGATAAACAGAAAAATCTAGACGGGACGCGGTCAAATCGTTCAGCACTATTAGTGGTTTTCCGCGCTGCCAGTGATTGGTCCGCTTGAATACATGCAAAGTTGCCACCTCGACATTACAAGGACCAGGTCAAAGCGGGAGAGTTGAATTACGGCAAGGAAAGGAATACAACCTTGTCCTGTATCCCTGCTGACTGGGCAGCATCTGCTTCCCCTGACTCCCGTACATGGTCACAGCCAGAGTGACGAGCAAACAAAGAAAGGAAACGGCGAGAACGCTGCGTTGAAAACGCTGAGCAAGAGGAGCGGATTCAGATGGGAGCAACTAAGGAAAGAAGCAGGAGGAAACACTGTGGATAGAAACTTAGCAGTCGCTGACTCGGTTTTGTATCAACTATCCACGAGTCATGGTTGACTGGTGAGTGAAGAATCCAGGACAAGGCGCACACGCAAAGCGAGAGAGAAGCATTGGGGAGAGCAATTGGAGAATTGGGGGTGTGTGACAACTGGCTGTGGCGAAAGGAGTTTGTTGGCGAAAAGGAAATGCGCGGTGCGACGAGCTGGATTGTCCAAATGTTTGCTGGCGAGGGAGGTTGGCGAGGCATGGCGGTGTGCGTGCGAGCGAGAATAGAGGTTGGCGCATGCTCTGGCGTCGTGCTTATCCGCCACGTGCGAGCTTATGTGTGGTTGTATTTGTAACACAGGAGTCGTGCCTTCTTCCTGGACGAAGTGCTACCAAGAGAAAAACAATGATAATACTCCTAAGAATGAGCGGATATTGTCAATCAGGGTATACACTTAATGAGCCCAGATGCATATCGAACGTAAAACAAAAGCGAGTACAGGAGTTCCCTAGGGACCCAACCTAATCTCATCAGCAGCACAAGGTGCGTCACCCAGCATTGCCGCACAGAAACGTTCATTAACAAGAGGAAACCAATTAAAACGCACAAAACTGTTTCCACCACTGTCTTGCTCTCACCAACTCACCACCACCACCTACAAATCCCACCCGCCTGCTAGATCTTCTGCTTGAGTTTCTAGGATGAGCTGAGCTGATTACCGTTGTGGCTTATCAGGGAATTTGCTACATGTGATGCGATGCGGCGATATCAAGGCCTCGTCATGGGGCGTCGAGGGCCGTTGCTCAGGGGTTCGTAGCGACTCCTGAGTGACTTCCCTTGGTGTCGTTGTCCCTGCTGCCATTGCTCCTTCTGTTCGTATAAGCCCCATCATTGCTTCTTACCAAGAACGCTTGCTCGTTCTTTTAGTCGCAGATACAATATATATACCGCCTCTTTGATTATTTCCCTCTTCCTTTCGATCCTCTGAAGTCGCAAAGGCGAGCCTTTTCGTGCACCGACCCCAACCCATCCACCCTCCGCATTCTTAGACTCCAATCTCTCCATAGTCCCCTTAATTTTCCTACATCTCTACCGTTCAGCAATACGCCATGGACGAGTTATTCTCTAAAGCTATAGACGCGCTCGATTCGTCCCTTAACGAGTTCCCCTCCTCCAGCGCCGATGCCGCCGCAGCAGCCGCCGCAGCCGGCGGCACGTCCGCCGCCGCCGCATCCGCCACCGCATCCCTCCTCCAAGACATGGAAGCGCTGCAAGACGCCACGCTCCCGCCCTCCGCAATCGACGCCGCGAAACGCGTGCTCTCGGCGTGGGAGGAGATCGACCTGGAAGGGAAGAAGTCCGCGTGGGACGCGCTAGGGCTGGCCATATCGCAGCACCAGGAGACGAGCTCCAAGAACCGGCGGTCGCTCGCGGAGCAGACGAAGGCGTTCAAGAGCAGCGGCGGGGAGAAGAAGGACTTCGCTCCGCTGCTCAAGGCGTACCAGGTGAGGATCCAGTGTGAAAGGTCACAGATCTATCAGAGCTATCAGACGACCATCTTCTCTCGGAAGGCAAGTACAAGCCACTCGATGCTCGCTGATTACTTTGGTGTTTTTTTTCGCTGGATTTTTCGCTGGTTGTTTCGCTGGTTCTTGATCGCCATTGTGGGCGAAACTGTTCCTAGTCGAGGAGTAATGCCTCCAAAGATCACCACAAGGCGTCAATTCCTTAGCGCATCCAAGTCACCGCAAATTCCCTCGACCCCTCCCTCCCCTCCCCCCCGTTCCACGCTCCCCCTCTCCCCTGCTCCGCCCTCCCCTCTCCCCCGCTCCACCTCCCCCCCACCCCTCCTCTCCCCGCACGCGCGCGCGCAGGCGGAGATCGACTCGATAACGAAGCGCGCGAAGCACGCAGAGGGCGCGTACCTGGGCGTGTACCAGGCGCTGTACGACGCGCCCGACGTGCTGCCACTGCTGCGCTCCTTCGTGCCCGTCGCCACACGCGTGGCCGGCGCGGAGCAGGAGGCGAGGCGACTACGGCAGGAGATGGAGGTGAGGTGGGGGGAGGTGTAGGATGGGAGAACGGGGATGGGTCACGGGAGGGGTGAAGTGAGAAGGGAGAGTGGGAAAGAGGGTGAGAGAGCAGGGATAACGAGGGGGGTGAGTGGAATGAGGGGTTGGAACGGGCAAGGCAGGCAGAGCGGAGGGCGAGTAGGAATGAGGGGCAGCACGCGGAGGGCGCGTACCTGGGCTGGGCGTGTACCAGGCGCTGTACGACGCGCCCGACGTGCTGCCGCTGCTGCGCTCCTTCGTGCCCGTCGCCACGCGCGTGGCGGGCGCGGAGCAGGAGGCCAGGCGACTCAGGCAGGAGATGGAGGTGAGAGGGAGGGGGTGGGGAGAGGAGGGGAGGGGGTGAGAGGAGGGGAGAAGGGGGACGGGAGGGGGGGGTGAGGAGGGAGAGTGGGAATGAGGTACGGAGAGCGGGGGTGGTGAGGAGGATGAGTGTAACCGAGGGGTTGGTTGGTTGTAGTGCAGGCAGAGCGGAGGGCGCGTACGCGTACCTGGGCGTGGTGCCGCTGCTGCGCTCCCTCGTGCCCGTGGCCTCCCGCATGGCAGGCGCGGAGCAGGAGTGCAGGCGACTACGGCAGGAGATGGAGGTGAGAGGAGGGGGGGTGAAGGGGAGGAGGGGAGAGAGGAGGGAGGGAGGGGGAAAGGGACACGGGGTAGGGAAGGGGGGTCTGTTGATATGGAGATTCTTCTTCTCGCCTTGGGTTCCTGTCCAGTCCTTGCTCCTTTCTTGTACATGCCAATGCGTCTCCTCTTCTCTGTCTGTCTTCCGTGCATGCACTTGCCTTCTTGCCCCTCACCTCGCCCCCTCCGGCCCTTGTTTCTCTTCTCACGCCATCTGCCTCTTCCCCCACCGTGACCCCTCGCCAGATCGTGCGTGCAGACGCAGCAGCAGCCAAGGCGCTGCAAGTGGCAATGCACCGCCTGCAGGAGCGCAACACAGAGCTGGTGCGGCCTCGTGGGATGCTTTGCGTGGGCAGGCATGCATGCATGCATGTGTGTGTGTGTGGTGGTGGTGGGGGGGCGTGTGCCCGTATGTGGCCAAGGCGCTGCAGGTGGGGTGGTAATGCACCGCCTGCAGGAGCGCAACACAGAGCTGGTGCGGCCTGATGGGATGTGTGTGGGTGAGGTGTATCTTTGTGGGGAGACGAGACGACAGCCAAGGGGGAGGGTGGGAAAAGGAGGGGGGGTAACTTTTATGTACGTGTGCGTGGCAGGCAGTGCAAGTGACAAGGAATGCACCACGTCTCTTTTTCCTCTTGCAATGTATCATTCCGCCACACGCACACACCTCCCTGCCTGCTCCCTCCCTGTCTGGCTCCCCACCTCCCCACCTCCCCGCCTCCCCATATCCCCGCCTCCCTACTCCCCGCCTCCCATCCCCCCACCTCCCCACCTCCCCGCCTGCCCGCCTGCCCGCCTGCCCGCCTGCCTTCCTCCGTGCGTGCGGTGCTGCACGTGCATCCGTGGTGTGCTCATGTCGGCCAGGAGGAGCACCTGGGTGACGGTGCGCGAGGCGGTGGAAGAGAAAGCAGTGGAGATGGAGGCGCGCATGGGCGTGTTCCTTCCCACACTGTATCATTCTTTCCTGCCCCCCTTCCCCCCTGCCTCGCTGCCCCCCCCTACCTCCCTGCCTGCCGGCCTGCATGCCTGCCTCCCCCTCTCCCATTTACGTGCGGCCAGGAGGAGCACCTGGGTGAGAAGGTACGCGAGGCGGTGGAGGAGAAGGCCGTGGAGATGGAGGCGCGCATGGGCGTGTTCCGCCAGCGCGAGGCGGAGCTGGAGGCGCGCATCCGAGAGGGGCTCGAGAACCTCGCTGCCATGCAGGTAGGGGAGATAGGGCGGGGGAGGGGAAGGGAAGGGAGGGGGAGGGGGGGGTGGGGGGGAGAAGTGAGGGTTTTTTAGGCGCCTTACATAGAGGCGCGCATCCGAGAGGGGTTCGAAAACCTCGCAGCCATGCAGGTAGGGGGGATAAGGCAGGGGAGGGGAGGGGAAGGGAGGGGGAGGGGGGGGGGTGGGAGGGAGAAGTGAGGGTTTTTTAGGCGCCTCAAAGAGAGGCGCGCATCCGAGAGGGGCTTGAGAACCTCGCTGCCATGCAGGTAGGGGGGCGGGAGTGGGGGGTGGGGGGGAAGAGCGAGGGGGGGGGGGGAGGGGAAGGGAGCGGATAGTGGGGTGGAGGGGGGGCAGGTAGGAGGGGACAGGGGAAAAGGCGAGCGGGGGGAGGGGGGTTGGGGGGAAGGAAAAGGGAAGGAAGGTGGAGGGGGGGGGTCATGACTGTTGGAGGACGAAGGGGAAGGGTGGGCAGGGACGTAGGAAGCGGCTTGGGGGAGAGGAGTTGTTTGCAGAGAGCTCTGAGTCTGACCCTGCTGCACACGAGCCGGAGTATGCAGGGAGTGGTGGTGTTAAAAAGAGAAAACCGACTGAGATTCGTGCATGATGCACCTTCGACACATAGGTCGCCATTCACTTGCCTTCTCTGCTGCTCACTCCTCTCCCCCCCTCGTCCTCCCCCACCTCCCCCCCCCCCGTGCGATCCCTCACAGAGAGCCATGCAAGGCGTGGTGTTTGAGGTGAATGTGCGCTTGGAGGAGGAGCGTATGGCAACAATACGTGCCTTCTCCGCTATCTCCCCCTCCCCCCCCCTCCCCCACCACAGAGAGCCAATGAGGCCATGCAAGGCGTGGTGTTTGAGGCGAATGCACGCATGGAGGAGGAGGAACGTATGGCAGCACGTGAAGGAACAACACGTGCCTTCTCCACTATCCCCTCCCCCTCTTCCCCCTCTTCCCCCTCAAACAGAGCGCAAACGAGGTGATGCAGGGCTTGGTGTTTGAGGCGAATGTGCGCATGAAAGAAGAGTGTATGGCAACAATACAATACGTGCCTTCTCCCCTACCCCCCCCCCCCCTTCTCACTCTCCCTGCTCCCTTCTCCCGTCTCCCCTCCCCCAGAGAGCCAACGAGGCTATGCAGGGCGTGGTGTTTGAGGCGAATGCGCGCATGGAGGAGGAGCGCAAGGGAACAATACATGCCTTCTCCTCTATCTCCCCCTCTCACCCCCCCCCCCCCCCCCACACCACAGAGAGCCAACGAGGCGATGCAAGGCGTGGTGTTTGAGGCGAATGCGCGCATGGAGGAGGAGAGGGCGAGCAAGCAGCACGAGATAGACGGACTCATGGAGGAGATCGAGCGCAGCCAGGTGCGGTGGGATGCGGTGGGACGTGATGGGATGGGATGGGATGGGGTCTGTGAGCATGCTTCAGTGGTGTCGCTCTGCCACTGCAGCTGCTGCTGCTGAACTGCTTCGTCAAATCATTGCACAACCCCACCTTGCTGACTCATTCTGCTTCTGCTTTACCCCACCCCACGACTATCCCGCCGAACCATTCCCCCCCCCACCTTCCCCCCTCCGCCCACCGCCCCCCCCACCACCACCAGGCGCGTGTGAGCATGCTTGAGCAGCGCCTCTCTGCTGCTTCTGCGGCTGCTGCTGTCGCCTCGCCCCCTCTTCGCCCTGCTTCTGCCCCTACTCCTGCTGCCAACAGCGAAGGCTCACTTGGAACAGACCCCTCCTTAGCTGCGGACTCGAGCACAGCAGGGGGAGAGGAGGGAGCCAAGTCTCCTGTGCTGGCTTCTGCATCAGCATCCGCGGCTGCGGCTGCGGCTGCATCTGTATCTGCGTCTGTGTTGGAGGAGCCAGAGGAGGCGAAGGAGAGGCTGGTGGCTCGCCTGCACATGCAGTTGCAGCAGATGGAACAGACGCTGCAGGTACTGCTGCTGCTGCTGCTGTTTTCTGCTGCTGCTGCTGCTGCTGCTGCTGCTGCTGCTGCTGCTGCTGCTGCTGCTGCTGCTGCTGCTGCTGCTGCTGCTGCTGCTGCTGCTGCTGCTGCTGCTGCTGCTGCTGCTGCTGCTGCTGCTGCTGCTGCTGCTGCTGCTGCTGCTGCTGCTGCTGCTGCTGCTGCTGCTGCTGCTGCTGCTGCTGCTGCTGCTGCTGCTGCTGCTGCTGCTGCTGCTGCTGCTGCTGCTGCTGCTGCTGCTGCTGCTGCTGCTGCTGCTGCTGCTGCTGCTGCTGCTGCTGCTGCTGCTGCTGCTGCTGCTGCTGCTTCTGCTGCTGCTGCTGCTGCTGCTGCTGCTGCTGCCACTTGTCATTTGTATCCCCTTGTCTCCACTCCCTCGTATCTCCCATTGTCTTCTCGTCATCCCTTTCCGCACTCACGTTTTTGCTCTTCCCCCCAGAACTTGGCTCTTGCCCCCTCCTCGTTTCCTCCTTCCTGCCTCTGCAACAGTGCAAGCAGGACAAGTGGGAGTGGGCAGGGCATTGCAGCAGGCGCGTTTTCAGATGCGTCAAATCCCCAAAATCCCCCTAAATCTCCCAAATCCCCCAAATCCCCCAAATCCCCCAAATCCCCCAAATCCCCCAAATCCCCCAAATCCCCCAAATCCCCCAAATCCCCCAAATCCCCCAAATCCCCCAAATCCCCCAAATCCCCCAAATCCCCCAAATCCCCCAAATCCCCCAAATCCCCCAAATCCCCCAAATCCCCCAAATCCCCCAAATCCCCGAAAGCCCCCCGCAATTGGCTCTTGCCCCTCTCCTCGTCTCTCCCCTCCTCTTGTTTCATCACCCCTGACATGGCAACAGCGCGAGAGGGAGGAGTGGGAGCGGGCGGTGCAGCAGGCGCGGCAGGAGGTGGGGGAGAGGGAGGGTCATGTGGAGCAGCTGCAAGAGCAGCTGCGGGTGAGACCCTCCCAGGCGCAGGTGGAAGAGCTCAGGCAGCAGATCCGCGTGCTGCAGGTAGGGGGGGGGAATGAAGGGGGAAGGGGAGGAGGGGTGGGGGGGGATAAAGGGGGAAGGGGAGGAGGAGGGGGGGGAGGATGGAGATAAGATGCGTGGCATGGATGGATGGATGGATGGATGGATGGATGGATGGATGGATGGATGGATGGATGGATGGATGGATGGATGAGACGACTTTTGAGGCGCCGCAAAACCACGAGTAATGAGACGACTTTTGAGGCGCCGCAAAACCACGAGTAATGAGACGACTTTTGAGGCGCCTCAAAACTGCGAGTAATGAGACGACTTTGAGGCGTCTCAAAAGTCGATCCGTTGCTTCCAGCTCACAGACTGATCACTGTCACTCTTTCCTCTACGCTCCGTCCACCCACTCCCTTCTTCCCTGTCCCACTTCTTCCCTGTCCCACTTCTTCTCGCATTCCACAGGCACTGGCAGGAGCGGAGGTGGATGATATCGACGGTGCAGATCTCTCCGCCACCCTCTCCTCCTCCTCCGCTTCCGCTGCAGCCAGCGCAGTCCCGGCAGCTGCGGGAGGAGCAGGAGGCGGAGGAGGGGAGGACGGATTGGGCGGAGGCAAGGCAGGGGAGGGAGAAGGGGATGCTGCCGCACCAGCAGCAGGGGGAGCAGGAGCAGCAGGAGCAGCAGTGCTAAGTGAGGAGCAGCGCATTCAGGCTGCGTTGCGAGAGAGCAACCGGCGCCTTATGGCCGAGCTAACAGCAGCGCGAATGGCAGTGGCCGAAAGCCGGCTTGAAGCCGAGGAAAAGGCTGCACGAGTGGTGGCCTTAGAAGAGGAGTGCGGTGAGATGCGAGCGCTTGTGCAACGGCTAGAGGAGGATATTGTGGCCGGGAGTGGTTCCCTTCGAGAGCTGTTGGCCCAGACGGCGATTGCTGGTGGTCAGGGCTCCAAGAGGCTCGCCCAGAAGGGAGGGGCGGCAACGATTGCCTCGTTGCTGGGAGGCGGAGGAGGAGCCGGGGAAGATGGACGGGGGCAAGGGGTGGAGGGGCGTGAGAAAACGGGTGGGGGAACAGCGGCAGGGTCGGGGGCAGCGCTGGGTGCGGAGGAGCAGCAGCGCAACATGCTGCTGATCGTGTGCGACCAGAGGGAGCGGTTCCGCAAGCGAGTGATGGAGCTGGAGGAGCAGAACGGCGCTCTGCAGGACCAACTCAGTGAGGCTTTGAAGGGCGAGGAGGGGGTGGGGGGGGGAGGGGAGGGGGGGTCCAGGGTGGGAGAGTGTGGGGGTTTGGGTTAGAATGAGTGGTTCTGCAAGCGAGTGGTGGAGCTGCAGGAGCAGAATGGCGCGCTGCAGGACCAACTCAGTGAGGCTCTTGGGGGGGGGGGGGAGGAGCACAGGAGGGTGCAGGGGTTTGGAGGGATTTGGGGGGGGGTTCGGGGGTTTCAGGGGTTTTGGGGGGTTTGGAGGTGTTGGTTTGAGACTGGGTTATGATCAAGCGAGTGATGGAGGTGGCAGAGCAGAACGGGCGCTGCTGGACCAACTCAGTGAGGCTTTAAGGGGGGAAGGCAGGGGAGGGTGGGGGGGGGGTGTGGGGAAGGGAGGGAGGGTGGAGGTTTCGGGAATATCTGTTTCCACGCGCAGTACAACCGCAACCTCGACTCTCCACACGTTTTAACCTTCTGTCCATCCGTCCTTCCCTCCCCGTCCCTCTCCCCTCCCTACCTTTCCACCTACTCTGCCTCCCCTCCTCCCCCCCTTCCCCCATCCCCCCCTCCCCACCTGCCCTGCCCCAACTCCTCCCCCGTTTTGCCTCCTCTCTTCCCCCCTCGCCCTCTTCCCCCCCCCATCCAGACCGCGCTAATCTGGAGACCCAGCGTGTGACCAGCGACAACCTGTCTCTCTACGAAAAGATCCGCTTCCTAGAGCAGTACAACCGGTCCACTGTGCCCATCCGCAAGTTCACCTCACCAGATGACGACACTGGTTCATTTTCAGCAGCAGGAGGGGGAGGGGGGTTGGGAGCGGGAGCAGGTGCCGGGGGGTATTCGAATGCGAAGCAGGCAAGAGGAGGGGGAGGAGGAGGAGGAGGGGGAGGTGCGTCAGGGCCGTCTGCTTCTGAAGTGGTGATATTCGCCGGGGTGGCGGGCGCACGTGCGGCTAGATACGCATGCTTCGGGGCCTCTGACCCTCCAGACGGGGGAGAGGGAGGAGCAGCAGGAGGAGCAGGAGGAGCAGGAGGAGCAGGAGGAGCAGGGGGGGGAGCAGGAGGAGGGGCAGGAGGAGGGGGTATGGCTGCTGGCGGTGGTGGTGGGGTGGGGGTGTGGCAGGGGCGGGGGGGGCAGCGGGGGCGGCGGAGGTGAGATACCGGAAGCTGTATGAGGAGAAGATGAATCCGTTTACGGAGTTCCACCAGAGGGAGCAGGAGAAGAGCTACCGCAACCTGCGCCTGCACGATAAGGTGCATGTGGTGGTGGTGATGTCTGGTGCGAGGGGTGAGGTGGGAGGGAGGTATGTGGTTGAAGGGTCGATCATGTGTCAGAGGCTTGATAAGTTGGGTGGGTGGGTGGGTGGAAGGGCGGTGCACTTGTTGGGAAGACAACGCCCGTGCCTTTGATCTCCTTTACACACTGCTCCTCCACCCAGCAGTCTGGTTCTCCTCTCCTCCCTCCCTCCCTCCCTCCCCTCTCCTCCCTCCCTCCCCTCTCTTCCCTCCCTCCCATCTCTCCCCTCCCTCCCCTCTCCCTCCCCTCTCCCTACACCCTCTCCCCCCACCACTCCCCTCCCCCCTGAGCACAGATTACCCTGAGCAGCAGTCGCTTCCTCTTGACCAACAAGTACGGCCGCGCCTTTGTGTTCTTCTACACGCTCCTCTTGCATCTATTCATCCTCGCTCTCCTCTACCGCTCCATGCACCGCCGCACCATCGTCCTCACCCCCGCCGCCTCCACCTTCCCTGCTGCTGCTGACTTTATCAACGGGACCACGCCTGACATGCTTCCCTCTGGCGCTGCTGCTCTAGCCGCGGCTGCAGGCTTGGATAGAGGTCCGGGAGCGGTGCCAGGTTCGGGGGAAGGCCCGGGAACAGGGCTGCAGGGCGGGACGGGGGGGGGAATGAGAGGGGGGAGAGGAGGGGAGGAGGAGGAGGATGGAGGGGGGAGAGGGAAGCCGGAGGTGCACACGCTCGCTGAGAGCATAGCAGAAAGCGTTGGGGCTATGCTGCAGACTACACACGCGCTTACTTCTGCTGCAGATGGGGTCAGCGGTGGCAGCAGCAGCGGCAGTGGCGGGGGTGGTGGCAGTGACAGCAGCAGTAGTGAGTCTGGCACTCCTCTGGACGCTGCAGCGGCTGAAAGGGACAGCAGCAGCAGCAGTAGCAGCAGCAGCAGCAGCAGCAGTAGTAGTGGCAGTGTTGACAATCGAGAGGGTGCTTCAACTGAGTATGGTGGTGACAGTGCTGCTGCTGCTGCTGCTGCTGCTGGCGCTGCTGATGCTGCTGGTGCTGCTGCTGCTGCTACTGCCACTGCTGCGGCTGCTGCTGATGGTGCTAGGGATGGGGATGGTGAGGTAGCTGATGAGGATGCCACACACCATGATACTAGTCCAAGTGAGAACGGCAACAATGGTGCTGCAAGTGCTGATAATGCTGATGCTGATGTCGATGGCGCTGCTGCTGATGGTGATGCTGCTGATGGTGGTGCTCGCAGCAGCAGCAGCAGTGAGCCCCTGGTTGCTGGTGAAGGAGACAGCGAGAGAAGCGACAGCAGTGCAAGTGGTTTTGACCCTGGAAGCAGCAGCAGCAATATTCCAGCTGAGGGACTGAGTGCGGGAGAAAGCAGTGGAAGCAGCAGCAGCAGCAGCAGCAGCAGCGACAGCGGTAGCTATGCGGGCAAGAGAAAGTCTCGCAGGCGGAAGAAGAGGAAGCTGCAGAAGCGAAGAGCGGTTGATGCTGCTGCTGGTGCTGATGGGAGGGATAGTGGACGTCGGTGAGAGGCCGAGCCAGTGAGTCAGTGGTGGATGGATGGTGCAGATGAGAGAGTGGAGATGAGTAAAGAAGAGTGAGTGAGTGAGGAGAGGAGGGAGGGATGTTGGGAGTGTCGGAGCCTTGGAGGGTTTAGATGTTGGGTCGGTGGTGCAGTGCTGGGTGATGGTGGAGTGGGGCTGTGTTGCTGTATTTTACTGTAGGTTGTTGATCTACACAACTATCCCGATTCCTGACTCTTACAGTAAACGGTACTTCACTCTGTCATGCAAGCCGAAATGGCAACATATCAGACAGCACAGTATCTCACACATTCACCCAACCTGAACAGGAACGTGTGATATGATCCATCAAAACATATCCTAGAGAAAAGTGTTCCTCCAACCTCCCGAGATAAGCTTTAAGTGGACTATCACAGCCAGTTCCTAACACTAGGTCACTACTTCTCTTGATGTGCTTTACTATCCCCAGCACAGAAAGTATCTCCTCGAACAAAAATGGCTTGCTTCCTTCCTCCTCCTCACTTGCAGTACTTATCCGCTTTCTTCTTCGCCCGCTCGTCCAGCGCATCCTCCCGCGTCTTCATCTTCATCTTCTCCGGCTTAGTGTAAGCATACCGCACCGTCTCAAACGGAAACATCTCCTCGTACTTCGGCGTCTTCTTTCGCCCATCAGGCGCGAACCCAATCCCCGTGTCGTATTCATCATCACCTGCTTTTGGACCCCCATCCGCTCCAGGAGCTTCTCCTGCGGTTACTCCCCCTTCCCTTCCCTCGGGGTTTCCTCCTTCTCCGCCGCCTGTGGGATCGTTCTCGGCGTCCGTAGTCCTCTTGTGCTTCTTGTGTTTTTTCTTCTTTATCAGCTTGCTCACGTCGCCCACGCCTTTAAAGACCAGCTTCCCGCCGCGCACTTTGTCGAACGCGCTCGAGCTCGGCTTGCCTGACATCGCTTAGTAAGCTCGCATCCGCGTGGAGCTTAGTTAAACGCGTTTATTAGGATACAAAACGTGGGTGACGCACGGAGAGGTAAGCACTAGGGAATTCTTCGAAGTCCTGAGAATCCTGAGCTAGTCTGGTACGAAAGAGTAAGCGAGTTGCCGGCTGTTTGTCCTGCGTATTTCTGTCGCCTACCGACCTTGGACTGGCTATTTATCACTGCGCGGCAGAACTACCCGCTATCAAAGGAGTTAAATGTATGGGATGGGACGGGCCTAAGCCACGAATATTATGCGAAGACCAGGCAGAGAGTGGTCAGGCCAGTCAGCCTGGGAAGACCAGCGAAGGGTGGAGTAGAGAGGAGGATAGTGGTGGTGAGGCGAATTTGGTGGAGGTGAAGCGGAAGAGGCTGGTTGCTGTTATGGTTGATGCGGGGTATAATACTGTATATGAATGCAAGCAAAGCCAGAGTGTACACGTTCTTGTGCCCTAGTTTCTTGCGATGGAGTACTTGCGAATAAACGAATATGCTTGTGAGGAGGAGATGATTTTGTACGCGCTGAAAGCTCTATGCCTGCATTTAGTCGGACAAAAGTAAGCAACCGTAGCTTTCGAACTGGAATCCAATTCCAAGACACACGGATATTCTTTCATCAACATTATTGGCATTCTTTGCCCTGTAATCACAGCAGCCACCTATGGCAGCCCGTCCTTGGTCCTCGGCTCGCCTCGCCAGTCCAGCTTAGCTATGGCTGGCGAATCCCATCCTCCGAGTCTCGCGCCGCTCAAAGGCTGCAAGCCGCACGCCTGCGCGATTCAGTCGTGTCTGAAGAAGAACGAGTACCAGCCCAGCAGGTAGCAGCGCTCTTCTGTTACACCCGCGCACTTCGTTGTTGACTCGCCTCGCCCCGTAGCCTTGACGTCTTTCTATAACTCGAGCGTTTCCGAGCACTTGTAGCTGTCGATAGCCCATTATCTGCCACAGTTTTAACTGCATCTATTCCTGCTCCGCCCTGTTAATCCACCCCTCCTCGCTCTCGTTCCTCAGGTGTACCTCCCCCATTCGTCGCCTGCACGAGTGCTGCATGAAGTTGCAAGCCGCCGGCGCAACCTCTCCGCACTGCGCTGCTGTGGATGCGCACTTGCCGCGGAAAGACAAGGCGGACAGGGAGGGGGAGCCAGCGGAGGGGCTGGGGAAGGGGTGCGGAGGGGTAAAGGGAGATGGCGGAAGAAAGTAGGCAGTCTGAAGGGCATTTCTAAAATCAAGATATTGTACCAATTTATACTAGGTATTGAAGCCTAGGTACTCTGTGGTACGTACTAGTGAGCAATTGTTCCCTGATGTTCGCCTCCTGGTAGAGGATGCCTGCATGGGCATTCAGCAATCATGGGTTTACCCACCAGCAAATTTTGCCGTGTACATACAGATACGTATTAGGCATGAACATCTCAGAACACTAACCCAAGTCATTTGTTAGGTCTCACCCCTAATAATCACATCTACATGGAAAACACATTATCCTCTGTTAATCTACTATGTCAAGTTTGCATAGATATTACTTTATCACCTAATGCTAGGGAGCTGCCTAGTGAACAGGTCCTAACGACTTTGCAGATGGCTTGCAAGCAGGGAGCTGGGGAGGAGGGGTGCCGCGGTCACCAGGTGATTTGGCAGCGGCAGCTGGCACAGAAGACGATCGCTGGTCCTAAGTACCTAAATAGAACTGCAGCCTGACAGACTGCCGTTGCTGCTCACTAGAGCTTAGCTGCTGATAATGCTCTTGCTCTTGATAATCTTCCAAAGTCTTGAAACGAGGCTTAGGTTCGGTTTGCTACAAGAGTCCTGCTAGAACTGTAGCCGCGGCAACAAGGATCCACAATTGATGCGCGAGAACCAGCCCCTCCCACGTCCGCGGACTTAGCCCCGGAACTCCGCTCTCTGGCGCGCACGCGCCCACATAGGCCACTTCCGCCCCCGCACACTGCGCCTCCTGCACCCCGCACCAGAAGGTGACGCCGTTTTCCCCGCACACACTGCAGACAGATCGAACGGGGAAGAGGGGGGGAACGAGGAGCGGGGCGGATTGAGTTGGGGAATGGTGGGGGGATGCGAGGGGGACGAGAGCACGGAGAGAACGGAGCGGCGAGAAACGCAAGGCGAGGAAAGCGGCTTGCGATTGAGAGCAAGCAGGACGGTGGAGGAAATGGAACTACTGTCAACGCCATCAGGCCTCTCAATGGTGCCTGGGAGGCTTCGAGAGAACTCAGGACGTGACAGGACTCAGAGAGGGAACGAGGGCAGCGGGAAAGAATCGCAAGGGGTAGGTTGGAGGAGGGAAGTGGGAGGAGAACGCACGGGTTAGGTCGCAGGCATGTGGACGAGCACTTGACTGGCGAAACCAGAGACTTGAGCAAGCTGGCTGCTGTTGCTGCTGTTGAAGCATCAGGCGATGACTCCTCTACCGACGAGCCAATCGAGCTGATAATGCTGTCAGCATCCATGCTGCCGTCGCTGCCGTCGTTCATGCTACTGCTACTCCTGCTGCTCATGTTATCGCTGCTGCTGCTGCTGCTGCTGCTGCTGCCGCTGCCGGAAACGATCTTGGTTCTGCTTGTGGCGTTAGTGGAGGAGCGGTACACGTGAGTGATGATCGTGCGGATGGTTCTGCTGATGCTGTTCCTGCCTGCGCTGTAGTTCCGCTTCGCAGTGCAGGGACCTGGTGTGGGCAAAAAAGAAAACAATCCGGATTTCAAGAATCCCCCAGGTGCAACGATATGAGAAAAACGCAAAGAATGGGTTCGATAAACACGGGTTCAGCAGAAAAAAAGGGGTTTGCAAAAAAGGTGGAAAGAAATCAATAATGTCATCGGCAGGAGGTTCTTGACTGGACTAAGATCCGAAAGCTACTCACCCACGGTCAGTCGACCCTTAGTGGCGGCCATGGCTTCGCATTCGTCGGCAAACCTCCTGCCATTGCTCGAGCAGACCTGCAGGAGACAACGGGACGGAAGATCAAATCGAGGAAAAAAGAGTTCGATATAACGAAGTCGGATAAAAAAGATCGGCAACGACGTTAACGACACCAACGCCTTCGGCGTCATGCAAAGATTGCATGGTCCATCTAAACGTGTGCGAACGTTGCCAATCTGGCTCTCAAGGCAAAACATCGTTGCGCCAACTCAAAGAGCGCGCAAAGGAAAAAGAATGCAACGTTCCTCATTTCTATACCAGTATACCCATATGACCTAACTTATAACCTCATCGTATGCCTTTGCTTCTGTCTTTTCCTTCTAGCCCGTAGCCTCTCGCAATCTTTCACCAAGATACTGCTAGAACTAGCAACCGAAAGGCATAGAGGAGAAGGCGAAAAGACTAAAGGGAAACGGAGAGAGTTTACAGGGGGAAGGCTAGGGTTGATTTCCGCCACTACATGATCCGATGACCTCCACCAATAGAGGCCGACATGAACAATGGCTTTTACACACTAGCGGACGCCGCTAAGAAAAAATAGGGGGGGAAAGGAAAGAGGGTCAAGGAAAGGAAAAACACGGATCCGTTACATCAGGAAAGAAGGATCGGATGCGTACAGGCCCGGAGTGGGGATTGCAACCCCTTGACGACTGCTGGTCGGACGTGAACTTGGTCTCGTTGCTCGCAGCAGGACGCGATAGCAGAAGCGGGAGCGACTGAATCGAGGACACGGAGCTCGCAACCTGGGGACCCGCCATGGACAGAAAGACGAGCGCGAGGAGCAGCAGCGACGAGAGAGGAAGACTTTGCCCGCCGCCTCGTTGCCACATCAGCCATCGCCACCGCTTCAGCGGCGAGCCCAGGTGCGGCTGCAGCCACGCTGCTTCCATATCCTAGGAGTTCAGAACACAACGCTATAACAACAGACCGCTCAGAGGTGGTACCGAGCTCGCTACGAGCGGGCCGTGCTCATCGGAGAAGCAGGGTTAGAGGGTGAGCAACGGCCCTGTTAGTTGTTACTGAGATGAAGCGGCGGCTGTGGCTGTGGCAGCGGATGAAGGGTGGGGATGGTGATTGGAGAAAGGGGAAGGAAGGAATAGCTGGGGAGAAAGTGGGGAAAGGCAGCTGGAAGAAGAGAAGCTTCTGTTGGCTTCTGTGGCTAGCAGTGGTGTTTAGGGAAAGATGGAGGAAAAGTGAGGGAGAAAGGGAGCAGGGATTGGAGGGGAAGTGGAGGAAAAGGGGGGAGGGGAGGGGGGAAAGGGGGGAAGGGGGGGAAGGGGGGGAAGGGGGGGAAGGGGGGAAAATGAGATGTGGGAGGGGATAGGAGTGAGGGAGGGGGGAGTTGGAGGGAAGCGCACCAACGGGCGCGGGAGGAGGGACCAGAGCACCGCAGCAGCTGGCCACTGTGGTCACAGGGTCAGTGAGGTCAGGAATCAGGGGACCGGGTTTGTGGTGTGGCGATTGGGGAGTCTGGCGGTCAGCGCGGGAAAAACAGTGAAGTTCGGGAACAGCGTACGGGCAGACTAGGGGGTGTGCTGTGAGGGGTTTCGGTGCGGAGTGGGGAACAGTTGTGTCTGGCACGCGGAGAGATTGACCCAGGTTTCGCGGAGCTACACGGGGCGAAAGTGGAATTGAAGGGGGATGGGGAGGGGAAGTGGGGAGAGGGGAAGAGGCGAGTGACCCTAGATCTTAGCTCTCACAAGTTTGCCTGCGACCAGGCGGAACAGTCTGATTTCTGGTTGGGCTGTGGTTGAAAACTCACAGTCGTTGCGCAGGGTGTTTTCATGTATGTGGTTTTGATTGGTTGCTATACCTGACAATAATATTTACCAGTTGCCGGGGCAGAAACGGCGGAAGAATTCCAGGAATGCGAAAATGAGCGGACAGCACAGCACAAGCTTGCGCACCAGGTGTCGTTTGCATGAAAGTCGTCAGGCGCACGGCGCGTGGAGGGAGCGGGCACCACATGCCCCGGAGACTAAGCGCGGTCTGACTACCTGTTGCGGGCTTGGCGGAAGCTGGTTTTGAAACTGGGCAATGGGAAGCAACCGCGACGCGGTAACGTGCATTGGGGGTTGGTCTGGGATTTTGGCGGCAGCGGAAAGGTATGGAGGGCGCAGGTGAGGGGGGGGGGGAACTCCCCCAGGAGTGGCGGAGTGGAATGTAGGCTCGAGGTTGTCAGATAAGGGAGGAAAACCAAGTCTGCACGGCGAAAGGGGGGAGAAGTTCGCACATGTCACCATGTTCCCGCCTCTGAGCCACCCTCATGAGTTCGTGGAAGCGACGACACGGACCGCGCGTAGCACCCAAACCGAACGACGAACCGCTTAGACACCCCTTTGTCTGTTGTTCTGTATACAGCTTCCGCTCGCTCTTCCCTCCCAGTCCCACTGCCGCCCCAATCAACTCGTCAGATGGAGGGGAAAAAAAAAAGAGAAGAAAAGCAGCGCCACGAACACGCCCACGAGCTCCACACCAGATTATTCATTGACTTGTCAAACCGTAATTGGTACACCTGTACACCAATCATGCGGGAGATATTGCTGAAACACTCCCACGACGAGGGAATGACGCAACTCTCAAATTTTGCGTTTTGATTTTTTATTGTCGTAGGTTTTTTCTAGCCCCTGCCCCCATGAAAATCGAATTTCCGATGTCAGAGATTTGTGTGTCTGTAGTGATTTCGTCAATTTAGTGAACTGTATGATCAATCCAGGGGCAGCCCGAGAGCATGGTTGAAACAGAGAGTTTTCTGTCGTTTTGCGCTATGTGATGACAGCCCAACCGTAAACAAGTTTAAGGCTGCCCACTCAAATAAACCCGTAGGGGGCGGGCACGCGACTTGAGGTGGCATTACCCTAAACTCACGGTACTTTTCCGAGTTTAGGGATGATGCCACCCGGAGTGGCATGGCGTGGCCCCTGTGGCCTCTCTATCCACTGTAGTGGCGCATACGACACAGTCGAAACAAAAATATATATCCAAATGAAAGGTTGTTGTAACAGTTCGCATGAATTCGCGAATCCTTTGCTACCCAAGAAAACCCCCCGTAAATCATTAAAGGGAGGATTTTTTACAGCGGGAGTTCGGGTCGCGCGTGGGCAGGGGCCAAGTAAAAACCCGTGACATCAGGAATTCAAGACACGACATTGTGGAGGTGCGTCATTCCCTCCCCCCACGCCTCTGGAAATCTATCCCCTCTTCAAACTGACAGAGCGCCAATATAATTTTCAACCTGATCAATATAGACGTTTCTCTTATATGTTTTAGGCTAAGGACCTACCCTCATTATCAATGAAATTTTACTAATCCATTTCGTCGATCTACACGAGATGGATAAAATCAGCCGTTTCATACTTAAGGCTGGAAATGTGTGCAGCGAGGAATTCGCATGCGCCGCCCGGCGACGTTCCTGGAGGTGCAGTGCAGTATATCGCAAAGGCGTAGGACGATCACAACATATTTCCGAGAGCGAATGTAAAGGAGGGAAGTCGTTTTCGAGGACAGAATAGTTACCCATCGATCAAGGTGTTGTAGCACCACCAGATTACATATTTTCTTGCATGTGTTTCCGTTGTAACCAGCTATAGCACATTATGTGGGGCTGTCTAGTGTTGCAAAAATTGGGAGCTAATGACGGAAGGAAGTCGGGAAATGGAAGAAGTCAGTAGCCATCAGCCCCCCTACTGATGAAGCTTCATCGCCCGAAGATTACCATTCCCACCTATTCGTAATACGGATCTATGCATTAACCACACATAATTAATGGGGAGTGCACCTGTTGACTGCCTTGTACTGGTGGAAGGGCACGTTGGCGACGCTCGACTGAAGATATTCATTGATAGTGGAGCATCCCACGATTTGTTTGATGTGAAAAACGTAGGAATATGCGACTACAAGTGGAGCGATGCATGCCCGAGATTGACGCGCAGTTTGTCGACGGCACGTCCCTAGCAATCCGAGTGCAGGTGAAACACGTTCGCATTGACTGCGACAACCAAGTCCGCTTCACCACGCAGATGCAGGCGACTACTTTGGACGGCTACGATGTTCTTCTGGGGCTACTTCTCACATATAGTCCCAGCATTGATTAAAGGAATGGCGAAATTCGTTTGAAGTGGGGTGGCGAGTGGCGACGATTGTCGAAATGGAAACCAACCAACCACACACCAACTGTTGTAAATTACATGACCATCCAGCGAGTGATGGCGGAAGGCGTGGACATCCACAATGTCTGATGGATCGTATCTACGGCTATGCTGAGCAGACCGACTTCGAGAAGTTGTGTGCTGGTGTATCTGAGGACTGACAATGATCATATGCAAATACGGGAACATATTTCCCGATGACCTGCCGTCCGGCCTACAGTACCACCCGAACGACCACAACCGACCGTCCAATCCCAATGGGGGTTGATTCAGCTAGAATTGCAAGAACATAGAGGGCTTCGGATGTGTACCGACTATCGCACGCTCAACAACATCACCATCAAATCTCGTTATCCGATTCCGCGAGCTGAAGATCTCATCGACTATCTTCGCAGGGCGAAAAAAATCTCCAAGATCGATATGTGAGGGGGTACACGATCGACTTCGCCGCGTGGCTTGTCAATCTTCGCCGTCACCTGACAGGTGAGCGCCAGGATGGGCACTCCTTGGCTGTGCATGTTGATGGTTTGCTTCCCCGCCCCTCCACTCCCTATCTCCCTGCTGACCCTACTACTGCTGAGCGTGAGGCCTTTTCTGTTGCTGCGCTCGCTCGCGCAGTCTGGGATTCTTGTGATGCCGCAGCGCAGCTCGCCATTAGTCATGCTCTTCCCCTATCTGAGCGTCCGCTCTTCACAACTGTCGCGAACGCCAAGGATTTCCTAGATGCAGTAGATCAGCGCTACTCCATACCCGCCTCCACCTCTGCTGGCCGCCTAATCCTCCCCATGCGGATTTAGAGACCCAGATATCCTCTGAAGGATCATAACCCTTCCAACGGATGAGAAGCTCTATGTTGCCATCCTGTCGACGGCGGTGAGCAAGTACGGACTCGACCTCATACCCGGGTTCATCATGGACGAGGGCGGGCGGCGGCGGCGGCGGTTGGCGTCCAGAGAAGACCTTGTTGGGATCTCGGTTGGGCTTCAAGAGTTGGACATGGAAGGCGTTGTGAATCTTCCAGGTAGCTGGTAGGCGTAAGCGGAAGGTAACAGGAGTGACCTGTGCTTCAACAAGAAAGGACCCGCAGAAGCGAGGTCGCAGTTTGGATGGGAGATGGCTGATGTCGAGATTGCGCGTGTCGAGTAGTACTCGGTCTCCCACGGTGATGGTGTGGTCTGTGCGGTGGCGATCGGTCTGGCGCTTCTGTTGTTGTTGAATGTCAAGAAGGCGCTTGTGGGTCCGATCCCATAGTTTGTGCATGGTCGTGATGAAATTATGAGCGGGTTGGACTGTGGCTGGTATGTTTGGCTGTTGAGGTGTGAGTGGGTGGCATCCGTAACAGAGGAAGAACGGCGTCTGTCCAGTAGCGGCGTGAATAGCATTGTTGTAGGCAAACTCCAGGACGGGTAGATGCAAGTCCCATTTGGAGATGTCGTCCTTGCAGCCTGCGCGGAGGAGTTGCTCCACAATTTGGTTGAGGCGCTCGGTCTGTCCGTCTGTCTGCGGATGGTAGGCGGATGACATGGCGAGTTTAGTCTCGAGTAGAGACATCAGTTCTTTCCAGAATTTCGTGAACTTAGGGTCTCGGTCGAAGATGAGTGTGGTCGGAATGCCATGTTATGAGATGATGTAGCGAACAAAGAGTTGTGCCGTCTCCTCGGTGCGTGCTGTAGTGTGTGTCGGGATGAAGTGTCCCATTTTGGAAAACTTGCCAATGACAACGAGGATCGCGTCATGACCGCTTGTGGTGGTTGGTAGCCCGGTGATGAAGTCTAGGCTGACCACTTGCCATGGCTGCTCTGGGACAGGAAGAGGCTGTAGCAGACCCACCTTTTTCTGCTTGCTGCTCTTCATCCGCTGACATGTAGTGCACGAGGTGACGAATTTATGTACGTCATCTGCCATGTGGGGCCAGTAGTAGTGTTTGGCTGTCACAGGATCGAATGTCCCGAGGAAAGGTTTGCTCAATGTTGCACTATCAATAAGTACAAGGGGCTTTTATACTTCC